AAGACCACAGATATACGTTTTCAACAGAGTGAGATTACAAAACTAGAAATTGGTCAATTTTTTATTTTGTCTTTCACCATTGTATCAGGAAAATTTTCAGCCTCCCCTAGGCTCAAATCGCTCCGCCGCCTCTGATGCTATTATGTATGTGTTTGTAAATCATTGGGTAAGTAATAGAGTAAACTACACGAGAATATATATATGTACTATACTTTCATTATGTGTTAATTTTGTTTTTATGTATTATTTATTTGAAAATGAGTCATTTTGATGATAATTGGGAGAAAAAAAAGGTAATATTGAAAAAGAAAAATATCTTATTCTAGTATTATTTGTATTTTCTGATTAGAAGAATTATTGAAAATAAGAATAGTCCTTTTAATAATTATTTGCTTCGGTTCATTTTAATTGTGTGAATAAATTGAAATAGTATTTTTCGATTTATCTGATCCAACTTTTTTAAATGCAATTAAATTATTATTCGTTTTAATTGTTGTAGCTAAATTTTGAATCGAATATTCAATTGAAATTGAACTTATTTCAGTGACAATTCAAGTAATTTCTTCTTCTTCAGACATAATTTGACTTTTAACATAATTGCTTCTTCAGTAACAGTCTGAATTTTAAATTTGGATTCCTTATATATTTGTAAACATTGTTGTTGAAGTTGTTCTTGTATGAAAGTTAATTGTTTAGTTCTTTTCTTTTTTTTTAATCTAATCATAGAAAAAATTCTTCTGATAAACTTCACTATTCTTGATCATGTATTGTTTGTTGTTGTTTAACACGAATCAATAATTATTATTGACATTGTTGACTTCCTTAGGCAATATGTGTAAGAATCGATTCTATTCTTAATGTTACTTTCGTAAATTCGACGTTTAATAGATTTATAAAATCTGCATGAGTTTATTTTATATTTGAGTTGATGTATCTAACTTATCTGATGTTGGTAAGTTATAAAATGATTGAACATGTGCTGTTTCATATGTGTTTTCATGTTTTCTTGCTATATGTTGATGACTTTGTCCTTTTTGTTCAGCTTCAATTTTATTTTATTTTGATTTAATTATTTGTTGAAACTTAGATGATAACGATATTACCAAATATTTATTTCATTATTATTAAAAATTATATTAAGAAATATTTCGAACTTTAATACTTAAAATAGGAAAAACCTTTCAATTAGTGACAACATAATTGTTATTCTTTTCTTTTAGCCTATATTTTTGAATGAATATTAAATCTTATATAAAGATGCTTCCGTTGTTCAATTTCAATTCTATTTAAACTTATGTCGAATCGGTTATTATGAATCGACTAAATTATAATAAAAAGATGATATGTTTTAAAAATATCCGATAGTAGTGCATATTTTATTCATAGAACATTGACTATTAGAAAAATCTGATCAATATATGTACTTTAACAACGATAATTGTGTGTCAATGTTTCTAGCAAAAATTAACGAAAATGTCAAAGTGAATAATGTCATTTCAAGATGTTATCCAGTCACTGAGATTTACCCTAGAAATAACAATGCTGAATTGCATTAAAAAATAATACTCAAAATGATTGAGTAGAGAAGAAGAAAATTCTCTAATTGTAAAGAGATTAATAAGCGTATAAAATAAGACAATGCTTTTTATTTCTATTATGATAACTAAACGAGTAATGAGTCATCAAGATCCTCCTCTTGAGTGTGTGTTAATATTTTAAGATGAAAACGACTTTTTTTAAAAGGATACAGAAGTTCTGAGACAAAAAGATGTAATACCAACGTTTCCATTGTATTTTCATATAGATGCATAAGGTTTCAAATGAGTAATTGGTTGTTGTTTTTATATATTTTTTTTAACAATGGTGATGGTTGAGATGAAAATGATCTTTGAGAATAACTTGAAGGTCTTGTTAGTATTCGAAGTGATGGAGTTCATGCTCTTACTTTCGATGCTGATAGAACTTGAATATCTATATTTACTTTTCTATTATACTTTGAACTGAAACTCATTTATAACAGTTATTTTATTAATAATGAACGACTCTATCACTATTCAAATTATATTATTCTTTTGACTACTACTGCCAACACATATCTCCGTCATTGACTTCATCAGTGTCAACAATTAACGTAATCAATCGTCAATTACACTTTTTTAGATTCATTTGCATAGAATTAAGCATCAGGTAGCTGGATTGTGTGATACCATGATTTCATAATAATATTATCTGAAATTGTACTTTTAAAGAGTAATGTGTATAGGGAACAGTCATTTTGTTTTACATATGGTTATATTTTCTTATTTTTTTATTCGAGTTTCTTACAATGTGCTTCGAATATTACTCATGTTGACGAACCACTCAGTGTGCATGCCTTGTGATTGATGGTGAGTCATTTTCCGTCTCTGATCATTCAAATGAAAACAATTAGACTCTTCAAATAAGTTGTTATGTTTGTTGCAATCCTGAATAATGTGCAAAGAAAAGAAGCAATAACTTTCACTAGTGTACCAAATGCGATATAGGATTGTATAGTATACCAACTGTTGCAAAGACTTTCATATTTAACAAAAGATTTAACATTTTCTAATATGAATTTGTAATATTAGATGAAAAATAGACTACTATAGAAAGTTTTCTAAGAAATTTCTTCGTTTTATATCGGTAGCCAAAGGATTAAATAAGAGTTTTCTTCAAATAACTGAAACTTTCTACAAATTTTATAACAATTCTTCAAAAATAGCTTAATTGATCTTAATAAATTCAATGGTATATTAACAACACCAATTCAAAGAAATCGTTATATTTCCCCATCTTATATCCAATAAATAGTTAACTTATCATCTTTCAAAGTTGTCCGACGCAACGCTATAAAAACTCGGAAATAATTTTTTCAACAATAGATGGATTTTTGACTATTTAAGTATATAATCCTTTCAGCATGAATGAACACTTCTGTTGTTTTACGTGCCTTAACTAGTTTGGTATATATTTCATCTTAATCTAATTCATTCATTCGATTCTATTCTTATTTATCATGAACTACAGATATCAACAAAATTTAAGACCAGATACCAAGAAAAAAAAAGAATTACAGACTGATACAAGAATAAAAAAGAATACAAGATCAGATACACGAGAAAAAGAATTTAATATTGCATACAAGGAAAAAAAATTACAGATCGGATAAAAGATCAAATTATCCAAGATCAGAACCTAAGAAAAGATGAATTTAATTTCACATATAAGAAAAAAAGAACATAATAATAGAGGCGATATTGTTTTAAATAATTTGGATTTGTAAATCATAATAAAAGCATAGTTTTCCTTTCATTTAAATTAAAAGCCAATTTTATACATATGATTTTCTGATGAATAAGAACTTTAGTTGATCATGCAATGCCAGTTGCGCTGTTGCCTTGATCGTCGTCTGGGTTTCTGAAATTGCCAAATTTTTCTTTATTTGGCTTCATTTTGCATAAAATCTTTTCTAAAAAAAAAATCAAGCGAAAGATCAGAGTTCAATTTTTAAACATTTATCTTTTTTATTACTTATTGCTTTGTTGCAATTTACGATGTACTGATTTAAATTTTTCAGATGTTCATTTAAATGTGACGGACAACGTTCTTTTCTCTTTCGAAAATCAGCTCTCTGCTCCAATACCAATCGTTTCGCCTCTTGAAGTTGTTTCAACTATAAAAAAGACAAGCATATAGAATATAACTATGATTAATATTTCTTACTTCTTCTTCATAATCATTCAATTTTTTTTCCATTCTTATTAATGTTATTCAAAATGTTCACGATTAAACAATAATGTAGGACAAGTACAATAGAAGTGATGATGGTAATGACGATAAATATATCTTACTAGACACATATATACTATTTCATTCCGACGAAATCGAACAAAGGAAAACAACAAAGAAAAAGAAATATCGAAATCTAGTGAAAATTACCTAATTAGACATAAAATAGTTACATTTAATTAAACAAGATCAATCATTTATTAAACTTTTCCTAGGGCATTTTCAGTTATATGAATCAGATTTATTAATTTATATCAAACTGATTTCAGTAGTTGTTTAATTTATTGAAGATGTTACAAGTTGATGATCATCTTCTTTTATATAGAATGAGACCAAATACCCGGAGATACTCGGGAAATTCAATATTTGATGCCTGACATATTCGAAAATGGTAGCTTTATGGTTTTCTATAAGTAACCAGCCTTGACTGTTGCAAAAAACGTTCAAATCCGATTTCTTTTTCGATTTTTCTTGGTTTTTTGGTGTAATAAATTTGGATTAAAAAGTAAGTCTTTCTTCTTTCCCTGGACGGACGAGTATGCCATGCAAAGTTCGGTTTCCACTGGCTGCTACAGAATTCATTTTGTTAAAAACACTTTTTCCACACTGTATAATAATAATAATAATAGCATAAGAGGCAATCTTGAACTGGAATAAATGCACATTGAATGATAAAGGTTTTCATGCAGAAAATAAAATAAAATTCTTTTGCTTCTGAAAATATCCGCTTAGAACATAAGTTCTGCACACTTTTTTTTTGGTTTTTAGAGAAGTTTTAGGCCCTATATCTCGTGACTAGGAACAGATGTAAATCTGAAATTTATAGAATTCATACAGCTTTATCAGTTCTATTTACACTAAAAAATTCAGATTTATATCTCTTTCTAGTCATGAGATATAAGGCCTAAAACTATCCTAAAAGGCCAAAAAAAAATGCAGAACTTATGTTCCGAGCGGATAGTAACAAATAATAATTAACATGTCAATGCGAAGAGCTAATGATGCTATTTATTTTGATACTAAAGAAAGAAAAAAAGAATCATCATGAGAAAAAAATATTTTTTCAATAAGAAAAGTTAACTGAAATAAAATAAGTAGAACATTGTAAAATGATTTATATATTTGATATTTATCATTGCAAGAAATGACTAAATTTGTCATATAAAAAAAAATATCTGCTGGTGGATAAAATGAATGAAACAGATAGTGGCTCATCTCAATCATCTGAACCTGAACTTTACCGTTATTATATTAAATTATATTTATTTGGTTCACTAGAAGTTCCATCAATATTAATATCAATTTATATTTTATTTAAATTTATTAATAATCGTCAATTTCGTTCTCATATAAATAATCATTCAATAATATTATTAATTATTGTTTCATTTTTAAATACAACATCAGAATTACCAATAACACTTCAATTTCTTCGTGTTGGTTATATTAAACCAAATTCAAATATTTTTTGTTTATTTTGGATTTGGTATAATTTTTCTCTTCAATCAACAAATTTAGTTTTAATGACATGGATTTCATTTCAACGACATATATTAATATTTCATTCAAATTGGACTCAAACTAAAATTGGAAAACTAAAATGTCATTATATTCCATTAATTATTTCTATAACATATATTCCAATATTTTATTTTTCATGTATTATTATTTATCAATGTGAAAATTTTTTCGATTATACATCATTTCTTTGTGGTCCAATTTGTTATAATAGTATTGCTTGGTTATCAGCTTATGATTGGATAACACATATGTTACTTCCATCATTATTAATACCATTAGCAAGTATTACTTTGTTATTAAGAGTTTTAATTCAAGCGAAGAAAATGAAACGAACATTAAATTGGCGATCAACAAGAAAATTAACATTACAATTAATGGCTATTTCAATTCTTTATTTATTATTTTGGACTCCATTGGCATTAGTATCACTAGTTCGTATTTATTTTATTCCAACATTTATTGATGAAATAACTTATTATTATTTATATTATACACCATATTTTGTTCAACTTCTAATGCCATTTGTATGTATCGCTTGTTTACCAGAAATATGGCCAAAGAAAACTCGTGTTGTTCATGCATCAATAATAACACAAAATAGAATTTAAACATTTTTAAAGACAATATTTATATAATAAATAACAAATATATGCATTTTAACTGCTGTAATTAACATATATATTTCTCTATTCTTTAATCATATTTAACATGCATAAAGAGTTTTTTTTTTCTCAAATAAATAAAGTTCATTTTATTTAAGTTCTATTTCAATTTTGTTCAATAGAATATACACGTATAAATTAAAATGTGAGATGTTAATCCCACTTCAACTTCATTCCTACAACTATATCTCTTAGGATAGAATCATCCTTTTCATAACAACGAAACGATATATATAGGGTGATAACAAGGGTTGGGAAATTTCTATAAACGATGAATAAGGAAAAATCCATATATAGAACACAAGAAAAAAGAATAGAATGAAATTGAAAATTCCAACATATATAGAAGAAAAGGAAAAATCCATTGTAATTAATTAACAATAAGAGAAAAGAAGACGAACATAAGTTCACAGGTATAATCCTATAGAAAAGAGAGAAAATCCTTATGATTCCATCTGAAGAAGATGCAGATCATAACATAAAGGAAGATAATTTATAAGAACCTTTTTCTCTCGAAGATATTTTTCAAAAAGAAAACTTCAATATTCACAAACACTTTCAAATGCTGAATAAAATCAATGCAGAGAAAGTTAGCAGCCGATTCGAGTATTTTCCATGACGATTCGCCTGAGCGACTAAGCCACCAACGAAAACTAGTAAGCCACCTAGTACTCGACGAACTCTATCTAATCATGCCATCAGATTCTCCAAAACTTCAACTAGAGTGTCACAAAAATAAAAACAATCCGTAAGGCACATACGGAAAAATTAGCATTTTTGGTAAAAACCATGACGATTCGCCTCAGTACTTAAGCCACTTGTGAATCATACGTCAATCGATGCAGAATTTCACGCTCTATCGAGTGGTATATAATTCATCTCGATAAAAGTGTCTCATACCCGACCAGGTTTCTTGGAAACCCCAAAAATCAGATTTTCTGAACTAATACCTATAACGATTCGCCCAGAAGTTTAAATCACCATTGAAAACCACACCAACAGATGCAGAATCGCAAGCTCTATCAAATGATGTACAGCTTGCATGGCTCAACATCACTCAGATAGCACTTTCGCTCATAGAAACTTTCAAAACATAGGAAACTGGGGACTCTTGCCCATTAGTTCTCATGATGATTCGTTCGAGTACATAAGTCACTGACGAGTCATGCACCATTAGATGCAGAATTCGATGCTCTATCGAATGGTGTATGATGCCTCAGTGGCTTATGTACTCGGGCGAATCATCGTGAGAACTAATGGACAGGAGTACCCAGTTTCCTATGTTTTTGGAGGCTTTTGTGGGCGAAACTGCTATCAGATTGATGTTGAGCCGTGCAAGCTATAACCCGTTCGATAGAGCTCGCGACACTGCAGGGTGTGGGGATTTGACTGTGGCTATGCGTGTATCCTTCTCTCTAAATAATAGATAAATAGATAGATAGCCAATACTGGCATACCAGTTTAGGCGAAGAAGAAACGGCAGTTAAAATACTAAAAAGAAAATTTACAAAGACAAAAGGACACAACACAGACATAAAACACAAAAAGGACTAAGACGATGACAAGGACATTTACATATATACAAGACAGAACATAAAACAACACACTACATATAAATAAGTAACAAACCAGAGTAACGTGAAATCATAGATTAGAGAGGTGTGTCTCTAGAAGAAAAGATTGTTGCGTCGACCATCAGTCTGTCACCTCCGGACCACAATCGGATCCGGTTTCAGTGACAGTCATCATAAAATACAACAATCTAACTCAGATTTCGGATCTTTAAGTTTGAACTTCTTGTTCGATCAGCCATGCTTTAGCGCATGCTTTGACATGCATTGTTGCACCTTGTGGTTTTAATATTTTTCGGCACATATTATTTGGACATATGTATTTGTTTTCATCTTTTTTTATTAGTAAATTTATTATTTTCATATTTTTTGTGGCAGTGTTCTTATTTGTTGATGACGTTGCTGTTAGTTGATGCATCTCCTTAGTATCAGTTGATGCCTCCGTTGATCGTTTTTGTATACATACTCGTTTATGTATGTTCATAGCTCGTTTGCTTTTAAACGTTCGCCCACATAGTGAGCATGTTGCATCAACATTTATTACTGTTGTTGTACTTGGACTTGGAGGACTATTCATTTTTTTATTACAATCAAGAAGACTATCATCTGTCCGACGTTTTTTTGCTCTTTCTTCATGTTCATGTATGACATGAACTGCATCCGATCGGACTGTTGTGGGCTTAACTTCTTTATTGATTGTTTTACGCCACTTCTCCTTATCTTGAACTTCTCGTCTCCAATATTTTATCTCACACATTGTGAGATCTTTAGCTATTTTGTCTCTCCATCATAATTTGACCCCATGTGGTGGCCTTTTAGCATCAACAAAAGAAGAGAAGAGAACCTTTTTCGGCAACATTGGGTGATCTTCTTCGTTGTTCATTCGGTTGACATGACCGAACCACCTTAGCCTATTTCTCCTCAAGATCTTTTCCAATGATGGCTGTTCAGTCAACTCAAGAATTAGATCATTCCTCATTCTGTCACCACGACACACACCTAACAACGTTCGAAGACATTTGATGTAAAATGTATTCGGTCGTTGTTCTTCGACAACTTTTAGACATCATAACTCGCTACCATACAGCAGAACTGGCAGAATACATGCTTTAAATATTCTAACTTTTGCTTGAATAGATATGCATTTCCTGTACCATACAACACGACGAAGTGAGTTAAACGCGTTAGAAGCTTTTCCTAAGCGTACTTCTATTTCCTTAGATTGCGTTTGATCATTAGCTATATTACATCCAAGATAATTAAAATTGTCCACAGTTTCTATATTTTGATCTCGAATAACAATATTTGATGGAGCATCCTTCACTTTGCCTTTTGTTTCATGCTTTCCTATTGTTTTATTGAATTACTTTAGTGACATAGTACATGTTTTTTTAATGTTCATATTTAGGCCAAAGTCATTAGTGACTCTTTCGAACACTTTTATAAAATGTTCTATTTAGATTTTTCGGATTGTCACACATGACAACAATATCATCTGCATACATTAAAGTCAATAGATGTACATGATGACTACCATTTCCTTTACCAGAGAGCCAGAAATCACCAAGACGGTATGATAATTTGACATCCTGAACGTTAGCTTGTTTAATTATTTGTTTCATAATATAATCAACATGCACATTGAACAAGATTGGAGAGAGAATACAACCTTGTCTCACACCAGTATTCATTACAAAGCTTTCACTAACATCATCGTCGATTCGAACTTGAGCAGATGTATCCTCATATAGCAATTGCAACATTCGTACTATCTTTTGTGATAATCCATACGCTCGACACACTCGCCAAAGTGCTTTTCGATTGACAGAATCATATGCTTTCTTTAGATCAATAAAGCACATATGTAGAGGTTGATTAAACTCTCTTGACCTCTCCATGACCATTTTTAGTATGAATACTTGATCCATGGTGGATCTTCTAGAACGAAAGCCTACTTGCTCCTCCATCAACTTTCTATTAAGTGAAGCCTGAATACGATTTAGTATGATTCGGGTAAAGACTTTTCCTGCAACCTCGAGTNGTGAGTTAAAAGCATTAGAAGCTTTTCCTAAGCGAACTTCTATTTCCTTAGATTGTGTTTGATCGTTTGTTAGACAGCAACCAAGGTAATTAAAGCTGTCCACCATTTCTATATTCTGCTCTCGAATGACGATATTTGATGGCGCATCATTCTTTTTGCCTTTTGATTCAGTCTTTCCTATTGTTTCCTCGAATTTTTTTAATGACATAGTACATGCTTTTTGAATGTTCATATTTAGGCCAAAATCATTAGTTATTCTTTCGAACACTTATAAAATGTTCTAAATTTTTTGGACTTTCACACATGACAACAATGTCATCTGCATACATTAAAGTCAATAGATGTACATTATGACTACCATTTCCTCAATCAGACAGCCAGAAATCACCAAGACGATATGATAACGTGACACCCTGAACGTTAGCTTGTTGAACTACTTGTTTCATAATATAGTCAACATATACATTGAACAAGATTGGAGAGAGGATACATCCTTGTCTCACGCCAGTTTTCATAATGAAACTTTCGCTAACATCTTCATCAATTCTACTCTGAGCAGATGTATCTTCATATAACAACTGTAGCATTCTAACTATCTTTTCTGATAATTCATATGCTCGACAAATTCGCCAAAGTGCTTTTCGATTAACAGAGTCATATGCTTTCTTTAGATCAATAAAGCACATATGCAGAGGTTGATTAAACTCCCTTGCTCTCGCCATGACCATTTTTAATATAAAGATCTGATCTATGATGGATCTTCTAGGACGAAAGCCTGCTTGTTCCTCCATCAACTTTTTATCAAGTGAAGTCTGAATACGATTTAGTATGATTCGGGCAAAGATTTTCCCTGAAACATCTAGTAAGGATATGCCTCGGTAGTTGTCACAAATTCGTTTGTCACCCTTATTCTTGTATAGTCGTATTATAACGGCTTCAGTCCATTCCTTAACCATAACCTCCTGTTCCCATACATCGCGAATAATTTCATGTAACCATTCAGCGACATAATGACCGCCCTCTTTTAGGAGTTCCGCTGGTATATCGTCTTTTCCCGGAGCTTTTTTATTTTTAATTTGTCCAATCGCCTTTACAATCTCATCAAGAGTTGGTACAGCATCCTGTCGAGAAAGCTCTTTATCATCAACTGTAGGACTTGGAATTTGTTGTAAAACTTCTTCGCTTACTGTTGTATCAACGTTGAGCATTTCATCAAAATATTCTTTCCATCGATTCAATTGATCTTTACTGTTAGTTAAAGTGAAGCCGTTCTTATCCTGGACTGGTACACTAAAAAAAAAAGGTTTTTTAGGGAACCTCCGAAAAAGGTTCCGTAGATTTGAAAAATCTTGCAAATACATTCAAATGCTTAAAAAACGATTTTTTAGTTCTACGAAACCTTTAAAGTTTCGTATTAAATTCTACTGGTTTAGTGCGAAACCATTAGTGTTTAGTAAAAAGCCCTTAGAATTTAATACGGAACCTTTCAGGTTTTGTATTTTTTTTACGAAACTTTTTTCTGCTGTACGGGACTTAAAAAAAGTTTCCCAGGAAAAAGGTTCTTCCCGTGTATCCAGGGGAGGAACCTTTAAAGGTTTCGTAGAACTGAAAAATCGTTTTTTAAGCATTTGAATGCATTTGCAAGCTTTTTCAAATCTACGGAACCGTTTTCGGGGGTTTGGTAAAAAACCTTTTTTTTTAGAATGTATGTGATTTATACTTCGTCCATTTCCACGTAGCCTTCGAATGATTTGGAACGCAGTCGTTGGATCGTGTACTTTGACTGCGTTTTCTATGTCTATGCTTAACTCCTCCCAATATTCATGTTGCCTAGCATATACTTTGTTTTGTACTATTTTTGCCAACGTTCGGTATCTGTTTCTATATTTATTCTCGTTGGTCGTACTGCGATGTAGTTGCCAGTCTACATATGCTGTAGCTTTTTTTATCGACAATTTTCTTTAGTTCTGGTGTGAACCATTCTTTTCTGCCTTNTCACCAAGACGGTATGATAACGTGACACCCTGAACGTTAGCTTGTTGAATTATTTGTTTCATGATATAATCAATATATACATTGAACAATATTGGAGAGAGAATACAACCTTGTCTCACACCAGTATTCTTTACAAAGCTTTCACTAACATCATCATCAATTCGAACTTGAGCAGATGCATCCTCATATAGCAGTTGTAACAATCGAACTATCTTTTGTGATAATCCATATGCTCGACACACTCGCCAAAGTGTTTTTCGATTAACAGAATCGTATGTTTTCTTTAGATCAATAAAGCACATCTCTCTAAAAAAAAAGGTGCAATAGGAAACTATAAAAGGTTCTAGCGACGATCTTGAACCTTTTATGGTTCTAGATTTGGGTACCATTTTAAGAACCTTTTCTAGTTCCACGTTGCTGGCTAAAACCATTTTCAGTTCTAGACTTTCTATCTTGAACTAGAAAAGGTTCTTAAAAATGGTACCGAGAAAAGGTTCACTATGACAGCTTTTTTTTTACAGAGATGTGCAGAGGTTGATTAAACTCTCTTGATCTTTCCATGATCATTTTTAGTATGAAGACCTGATCCATGGTGGATTTTCTAGAATGAAAGTCTGCTTGTTCCTCCATCAGCTTTCTGTCAAGTGAAGCTTGAATACGATTTAGTATGATTCTGGCAAAGATTTCCCCTGCAACATCTAGTAAAGATATGCCTCGATAGTTGTCACAAATTCGTTTATCACCCTTATTCTTGTATAGTCGTATTATAATAGCTTCTGTCCATTCCTTTACTACAACCTCCTGTTCCCATACATCGCGAATGATTTCATGCAACCATTCAGCGATATAATGACCACCCGCTTTTAGGAGTTCCGCTGGTACATCGTCTTTTCCAGGAGCTTTTTTATTCCTAATTTGTCCAATCGTCTTTACAACCTCATCAAGAGTTGGTACAGCATCCTGTCTAGAAAGTTCATCATCATCAAAGGTAGGACTTGGAATTTGTTGTAAAACTTGTTCGTTTATTGTTGTATCAACATTGAGCATTTTATCAAAATACTCTTTCCATCTGTTCAATTGATCTTTACTGTTAGTTAATATTAAGTGGTTCTTGTTCTGGACTGGTATGTGCTTTATACCTTGTCCATTTCCACGCAGTCTACGAATGATTTGAAAAGCAGCAGTTGGATCATGTACTTTGACTACGTTTTCTATGTCCATGCTTAACTCCTCCCAATATTCATGTTGCCTAGCATATACTTTGTTTTGTACTATTTTTGCCCACGTTCGGTATCTGTTCCTATATTTATTCTCGTTGGTCGTGCTGCGATGTAGTTGCCAGTCTACATATGCTTTAGCTTTTTTATCAACAATTTCCTTTACTTCTGGTGTAAACCATTCTTTTCCGCCTTTATGAATGCTTTTATTGTTTCCAAAGTAGTATCTACCACGTTCTCGAACACTGTTAAAAAATTTGTGAAGTTTTCATTCCCCGATAAGGTTTTATTATCGCGCCGAATGGCTTTTATTTNCATAGGCACATTATTAGTGAAAAATGACCATAAATCATACCCCTAGCATATTTCCGTTGGAAATTTTCCTAGGGGCCAGATTTTTTAGACTTTAGAAAATATACGATTTTGTAGCTTTTGAAAAGCGCTATCGAATGAACTATACCAGAATTTTGGTACCTTTAATTTTTCCGATAAAATATTCGTTCAAAGATAAAAGTTAGTGATAAATAAAGACCATATGTCAACAGTGTCCAATAATATGTCAGATCTTGTTCTCACTGAATCGAACAAGGAACTATTAATTCTTATATAGGACTAGAGTCCTATCAAGAAGCTATCAAATACCTAATTTCACAACCATTTTTCCATATCAACTTACACCAAAACTGGGTCGACCATGGATATGGTCGATTATTGAATTAGTGCCCAAAAATGAGTAACTTTGTAAATAGCTTTTCGCTTCAAAAATTCGAGCAAAGCTCCATGAAAATAGCATCAAAATGTTCATTTTAACTTGCTCTTTCGAATGATGTATGATTCAATAGGGTTATCACGGAAAATTCCTATTGGGCCGATTTGGCCTCTTATGCGCCCCCGTCCTTTAGATAGTTTTGATAACCAAAAAAAAGATACTTTTGGTCACCAATTTTTTCGAGTAGCGATTTTTCACTTTCCTTTCTTGGATGCTTCTACACAACTCATGTAACACCTCATTCATATTCAGCACTGCTTCCAGTGATCAAAAAGATTAATGTACGATCAAAGCAATCAGTATATGAAGAAGCTAATTAATTTATGATCCCAATGCTTAGTGATTAGGTTGTGTGAATCTATAGAAAAAGTACATATCTATTGTCTTTTTTGAAAATGTTAACCTTACAATCAGACCGAAATCTGTTACGTGTGCTCAATTCACTTGGCAATATCACAGTTTTTGGATGCAGGTTTGTGGGTGCGGCTGTGGGTGTGGGTGAAGAAGTGCATACGTAAGTGTGGGTGTGGACAGATGATCAGAAGATTCCATATCCACAGTTTTTATTGAGCAAGATAATGCAAAATGAATTGTCGGAAAATTTGGTAATCAAAAATAGTCTCACCCAGAGGAAAATCTATAGAACAAAAGAAAGGGAAAGCCCACATAAAAGAGAGAACGAAAGGACAAATTCATAAGGCGTGACAATTGAAGAAAAAAGTAACAATATGAATAAGGAGAGAAACGTAACGAAGAAAGAAAGGAGCTGTCACTACCTAACAGGAACGAATAAAATAATAGTGGTACTTTAACTAAGAACGCCTTCATTCATAGTGGTTTCTTTCATAAGGCTGTGCTTCTGAGCACAGATCTCAGAAAGATTCAGTAATAAGTGTTACAGGAGAAAAGGCTAGGTGGGGGACCCGGGTTCCTCGGGCTTCCCCTTGCCTACGGGCCTACAAACAGCACAAAAAATCTTAATAGGATACAGCTAATCGTGAATTATACGAAACTTTTACTGTCTTCTAGCTTACATCCCTTGGTCTGCGTCGTTAGTAGGCAGTCAATCAAATACAGACTTTCACCCATGAAAACATCGATACTGAAAATACTTTACAACTGAATATACGTATTTCTTGTATTTTGCTAGAATTGATTTCTTAATCAGAAAGAGTCATAGTATCTATGATCATATAGTTTGCTTTTGATCATAAGACGATAGAATCATTTGTATTTCGCTATATACTTCGTCAAACGTCAAATAAATAGCGACAGCAACAATCGCATATGGATATGTTCACTTCGTGAAGCATGATTGTTAGATGAGCTCAAACAATTACAAGGAGAGTTTGCACCTTTTCGATCCTTGTCTCGAACAGTTATAACTACGGATAGGAAGTGATTGTTATCTACAGTAATAAAAGAAGAAAAAGAAGATAAATTTTGGTTTTTGCAAACCTAAAGTTTCAACTTGAAGAAATTCTTGAAAACATCAGTAACGACTGCTTGTTCTTTTATGATCATCGCTTACATCACTTCGTGAGAGTCCTATTCGACTGGCCTCTGATCTAGACCGCTAGATAAAACTACTTGAATCTCTGAAATGGTATTATTTGTTACTCTTTTAAGCAGATATTTTGAGTACATGTGGCTTTCAGAAAACACTAATTGCAAGTACCGCTTAGTTCTTAATCGATTGATATAACCTGAAACCATCAGTTTGGCAGTATCATCTGTTTATCAAGGTCCTTTCATGATCATTTTTCCACATTCATTTTCACGAAATACCTCATTTGAAAATCAAATATTAAAACTAGCTCAAATGGAAGATTGATAAGAAAAAAAAGACAAAACGGCAAAACTTTCATTTTCGTATGGAATGCTTGCATCAAGAAGTAAGCAATAGTAAGTAGTTCGGTCTCGATAACTTGAACTAGTTCCGACTAATTCTATTAGAAATTCTATCAATACGATCTCGTGAGGCCCCAGACGAGTGTCAGCACTTTTAGAGCTTTGGTCAGTGTCTCATATGCTGAGATGATCTTCACCTTTTTTTCTAATGAACACTCTCTTAAGAATCGTGAACAATAGCAATATTCAACTTTTTTAATGAACACGTTATTAACTGTGGTATCGGGTATATTCACCTATTTCTGCTTGGATGACACAAAAATGTGCCTTTATCAGTGGTCAGAAAAATCTTGCCAATGTTTTGCTTTCTTATTGAATAAGACTCCCTTCTTCAACATTAAAAAATTTTCCATAATTCTTGCGTTGTTTTCTTCCGGATCCGGTTGCAGGAAATGTATTTTAGTAAGTAAATCTTCTCTATGAATATCTTTACATCGATTGACCATATTCTTTATAACTACTGTAGAATGAAGATGGAAGCTTAATTATAATTCAACTCTATATTTTTTTTTATTTAAGTTTAACAAAAAGCGAATACTTCATAAATCAACTGTTGTTTATAATAGCAGAATATACTAATTGAATATACCTTTCTTTCCTGCTGTGCATTTATTTAATATTATACTATTTTAGGCTTGCTCTGTGTGAACACTTTTGCGTCGTCAACAACTTTTGCAACTGGAACCTTTCCAATCGCTATCACGTCAGGTGATTTGAACAATGACACACGATTAGATCTGGTTGTAGTCGATTCCGAAAAACAAAATGTCGGTGTGTTTCTCGGTAATGGGGATGGTACTTTTCAAAATCAGATTACTTTCGTAGCTGGCATAAAACCAGACTTTGTCATAACACACGATTTCAACAGTGACAATATACTGGATATCGTTACGATAAACAGCTTTAATAACTTCTTGGTTGTGCTACTGGGCAATGGTAACGGAACATTTCAGAAGGCGAGAACTTATCATACAGATTCAAATCCGTCTTCTATAACATCAGGTGATTTTAATAGTGATAATCGACAAGATTTAGCTATTACCAATAACAATAATAATAATACTGTCAGCATTCTCTTGGGCAATGGTGATGGCAGCTTTCAGAATCAACTGACATATACGACAGGTAAAAGCGCATTCTCCGTCATATCTAGTGATTTCAACAATGATTCGAAACTTGATCTTGCTCTTGCGAATGCCGGTAATAACAATGTTGGCGTTCTACTTGGTAATGGTGATGGAACTTTTCAAACTCAAGTAACATATCCAACAGGCGAATTCCCGGTCTCTATAGTATCGAGTGATTTTAACAATGATGGAAAAACGGATCTAGCCGTAGCTAACTATTTTAATAATAGTTTAAGTGTGCTACTTGGCGATGGTAATGGAAACTTTCAAAGTCAGACAATATATTTGACAGGAAAAAGGCCGGTTAGTGTCCAAGCGGGTAAACTTAACAATGATGTTAACGTGGATCTCGTTGTAGTTAACACAGGTAGTAATAGTATTAGTGTATTTCTTGGGAATGGGAATGGTACGTTTCAGACGTCGAGGACATATAAAACAGGCAGAAATCCATCATATACGGCAATAGGCGATTTCAATGATGATGCAAAACTGGATCTTGTTGTAATCAATTTTCTTGATCATGATGGTACCATTTTTCTGAACATATGTCCGTAACTGATTATTTAATATCTACTTGTACAAAGTGTTAACTAAGAAGGAATATTGCATTTTATATGTGATCAGAAATAGCATAGCATACCATTTTTTTGTAATTTGTAACTAACAACGAAAAGTATTTTGCTTATTCAATATGTATACGATGCCAAGTTTAGTTTTACTTTATTGTAGCTATTCTCTTTTGTAAATTTTATATGATATTTCTGCTAACCTTTCTCGTGTTTTACAAAATAAAAAGTGCAATTTTCCTTATAAAATAATTAATAGAAGCACGATTTCAAATTTGATAGTATTCACTAGTTGTGAAAAGCAAGCAGTAAAAAGAAATGGAATAGAAAAAGTGAAAAACACTCAATTTTGATCTATTCGAAGTCTTTTTTGCCGATTTCTCGTTAATGTACATCAGTTTTTCGAGACGATGACCGTTGAAATATCAGTAATCGTTGCTGTGTTTCAGTGAATCTCTCAATAATCGTGCCGAATATTAATTTTCCTAAAATGAATTTTCAAATCGTTTCTATGAAGACTTTTCCTTCGGCAATCACAAGTGTGTTGAATTTCAATAATGTCTAATAGAGCATTGGGATAAAAATGACTATGATTTCACGTGCATAACTTGTCGAACTTTATTTGAAAACAATGCCAAGAAAGCTGACTGAGAACACCTTGAAGATAAAATTGATCGCTTGAACACACAAATCTTATAAAATAAATGAGAAAGATTTTTCTCGTTGCTCGATACTTAAATCTCGCAGAAAAGTCAACATGTTCCATTTCTTATCGATATTTCATTCTATTGAATGAAGAGACCTGGCCAACTTCCCAGGAGTCGGGAACTCAATGGGAACTGGGAACTCAAAAGACGTGGGTGTAGGTAGGGTCCTCAAGTACTATTTTTGAAAAAAAATTTTTTTTTTTATGCAGAAACAGACATTTTTGTTGTAAAACAATTTTTTTACAACAAAATTTTGGGGTGTTTTGCAAAAATTTATTTTTTATCAAAAAGTCTATTTCTGCATGAAAAAAATTTTTCGCAAAAAAGAAAATTTGACTTGAGGACCCTATCTACACCCACATCTACACCAACACCTACACCCACACCCATACCTACACCCACACTCACACCCTTTGAGTTCCCAATTCCCATTGAGTTCCCGACTCCTGGGAACTAGGACACTGCCGAGATTACTATTGTTAAATCACATCTATTACTTATTTTCAATTGATGAAATGATATCAATTGAAATTTGATTTAGATAATCTTTTTGTATGAAGTTAAAACTGTGTTTCATTAACAAACGCTTAGCATCAAATGTTGCGGCAAAAATATTTACTTGAAATTAGAATTTCAAACGACCCACAAATAGAATGAAGATGCAATGTAACTTTTACATATTTAAATAAATTCTTAAACACTGAAATATTTCCAGTTATGGAACTTTATTTAAAAACAAAATATTTATTGTACGATTTGAAATCTTCATTTAATTATAAAATTGTCTTCATAGATTATTATATGTATATACGATCGAAAAAAATGAATTGCAGTCTGTATTTTCAATATATTGTCGTTATAAAACAGATTAAAGATATAAATAGCATATTGTGAAAGCGTTTCTACTTCGATATCATCCTATTTACTTAAATTTTATTTTATACTTATGCACTACTAAAATAAATCAAATGTAATGAAAGTGTGTTCATCAGCATATTTTCATGAACTTCATTTTGTCTCTATCATCAAAACTAGTTTTTCAAATTTTTTATCACTATGAAATAATCTTTTTAATAAAATAATTATATATTCTCATAGAACTCGAGATTTTCTATCATGTCATATAGTTATTCATTGTAGTGAATACGTTTATTGTACAATAATTTGAGTATCATGAACATACCGTAAATTGACAACTGCCAAAAATTGTTACTTTTTCTTCTGTTTACATAATATAACTACGATGGAAATAAAAAAAAAAACATTGGCAATCTCTGCTAGAACTTGAAATTTTATATCAACTTTTATATTTATCTGTTGTCTTCTATTTAACTGCTGAAGAATATTTTCAGTATTATATAGTCACTCTCCTTGGCATGCTCTTATCTCTTTCGTTTTTTCGTTTCGAAAGTTCTAAATCGTCAAGTATGTAAAGCAGTATCAGAGCATAAAATGACCTCTTCAAATATTGATTTCTCTAATAACCATACAACTGTAATACAATGAAAAATGATAGTGGAAAATTCAGTTTTTTAAAGGTTTCTTAAGGATGGTACTTGTATAATACTGGAATTATTCTTCAGCAGATAAATACAAGGCAAGCAATGAATATATAAGATGATAGAAGATTTCAAGTTCTATCAGAAAATATAATTATTTTATGAAAAAGTGAATTCCATAGTGGAGAAAAATTTGAAAAAAAAACAAGTTTCATGATAGTAACAAAACAAAGTCCAGGAGAATCTGATGATACGGATGCATTCATTACACACGGTTTATTTTGATAGTGCATAAGTGCAAACTAAAAGATAAACACAAGTCGTTATAGAAGACTGAAAGCGCTTTCATAATATGTCATTATTTTTTTCTTGCGTATATACAGTACTGGAGAAAAATATAAGGAAAATGTATTTTTTTCTACGATATCAAGCATTGAACTCATATCCAAATAGTGATTTCAACAGATGATGAAGTTTTCTATCAAATACATTCCATACCGAAATTTCATAGATGGTCAATAAGAGGAAGATTTCTGAATAATTAAAAACGACAGTTTTTAGATCTCAGAAGAATTTGTGAAAATTAGTTTTGAAGAGTATTATCTTAAAGAGTAAAATGAGAAATCATCACATTGCATGCAACCCTTCACTAAAAAATTATTAACATAAAAAAAAAATGCGGCAACTCATATTTTTACTTAGGCTCTTGTGCTCTTTGAGATAGTATTCTTGAAAACTAATTTTCACAAAGTCTTCTGGAACCTGAAAAACACCGTTTTTGATTTTTCAGAAATCTTCCTTCCATGGACCGTCTATGAAATTTCGGTGTAAAATGTATTTGATAAAAAACTTCAATGACTATGCAAATAATGCATTAGATTTGAGTTAAATGCTCGATATGATAGAAAAAAATACCACAATACATTGCTCGTATATTTTTGTCCAGCACTGTATACTTGAAAGTGAATAAATAATAGCCCTACAAAATGATTCTTTAACGAGTAATTTTTTTTCTATTTATATTTATGTCATATTTTTATTTTAATTCTTTTCGTCTTCATATTCATTATAAATGACAAAAGAATTTTGTACGCTGAAACTTGTTTCTCTTCATGGTCGCAAAAGAGAAGTAGTTGTTTTATATTAAAAAATGTTTTTAAGAGATTTATTTCGGTCCAGAAATATGACTTTATTTCGAACTTTGTTTATCGTTGATATTTCAAATAACAGATACTACAGAGATCGACATTCGTTTAGAAAAAAATGTACTACAGCAAAAATGTTGCGTTGTAGTTTGAATTATCTATTCATTCTAAATATGATATTTGTCTCAAACACATCTGAATGCCTGTACCCATATATAATCACATCGAAATGGGAAAAAATACGGTTTGAAAATTATTTGTAATTGATCCAGTTGTTTAATTTGTCAACTATGGATCATGTAAAAACGATTTTATTTATTCTCTCACTTTTTTTATTCTAGTTGATAAAATATGATAACATTTATCTCACTTCAAATTAGTTTTTATTCGAAACACCAGAACACTCGTAGGATGTGGTGAAGTTAACTTTAGTTATTACACAACAAGTGGCACATTTACTGAAGGAATTCGAAGCATCCCCAAATGAATTGGTCTTACATGACAAGCAATATTTAACTAAAATGAATGCCTTTCATCATTGTTACAATTATGGATTCCCGTAAAGAGCAAAATAATTTCATCTAAGGTGTGGTCGCCAATTCACTTGCACCTTTACTTCTATGCGCACATACAAGGAAATGCTATGAATTAGACGACAGCAGTATTATCGTTGGATCGTGAGCGAACAATAGGTGATCAATGCTATTGAGGAAGATTTAGATTATCTTGAAAAGTGTATCTTCTGGTTCGAAGCGAGTATTTAGGGTAATAGAAGGAAGTTGAATGTGTTGAAATCATGACTGGCACGTCACACTGGTGGACGATAAAATAAAGAAAAACAAATAGACAGTTAAAGGCTGAAGTAAACAAATTAAAATAAAATATCGACTTTTTTTCGTTCTTATAATCAAACATGAATATCTTCAGTCAAGTTCAAGTAATAAATGTTACTTTTTTTTTAATATAGAGTTTATTGTTCCACTAGGGTTAACAAGGAATAAGATACATGATTATAAAAACTTTAATTCTGACAAGATTTCCTGGTATGCCCTCGTTGATTGCAGCGACCACACATGAGAACTCTAGGTGCGGGAAGAAATTCATCGACGTCAATAATATGACCATATAGACTAATTTTACTAGTTAGTATTTAATAATGTATCATATTCGACTTTATTTAATAATTCGATCTTCACATGACGTGTTTTATCATTCATTGTTCCGGCCATTTCTTCAATTGAAAATACACTTTCATATCTTGAATTCAATTCATCTTTAATATCATCTATTAAAATTGAATAATTAATCCATTTTAATATAGCAATATGTTGTGGTGGAAGATCAGGTGGATGATGTGGAACTATTCTCACCCCGTTCAATTCTTTTGGATATCTTTCAGATTTGCATAAATATACGTAAAGTTCTGTTGTTTTAATAATAATTTGTATATCACCATTTGAATCAATTGACCATAGATCAAATAGAATTACTTTATTAAATTTAGGATTCTCAATAATGAAATCGGGTTTAATTGCTTTAATAAGATCTGTAATTATTTTCTGTCCATTTTTTTTATCATTTAATTTTGGTTGATATTCTAATTTAAAAGGTAAGTAGTAATATTCACTAGCATAATCAATTGCATGTTTACTAATTCTTAATGTATTTTCATGTAGATTATTTTTATTATTATAAAACGAATTTGTTGTTGGTTGTTGACAATGTTGATGGCTGTTATTTTGATTAGAATTGATGAATATCCTTGCTCCTGTTGACTGTTGGTGTTGACGTTCTTCTCTTTCATTTTGATTTAGAAGACATATATGTTTGTTGGTGTTGCAGAGATGACACTGATGATTGTTGAATTCATCATCAGTGTGTTCACCAAACCTCTGTCCTTCACTTGTTGCTATTCTTTTTAATGTTGTTCGTCGATTTTGTTGTTTTCGATTAGATAGATAGATAGATAGATAGCCAATACTGGTAGACCAGTTTAGGCGAAGAACAAACGGAATTTTAAACTATAAAAAGCTGCAAATTTACAGGGACAAAAGGACAAAACACAAACATAAAACACAAAAAAGAAAGACTAAGACGACGACAAGGACATTTATACATATACAAGACGAAACATGAAACAACATAATACATATAAATAAGTAATAAACCAGAGTAACTTGAAACCTTAGACTAGAAAGGCGAGTCTCTAGAAGAAGAGATTGTTGCGTCGACCATCAGTCTGCCACCTCCGGACCACAATCGGACCCGGTTTCAGTGACAGTCATCATAAAACGCAACGATCTAACTCAGATAACGGGTCTTTAAATCTGAACTCCTTGTTCATTTAATCATGCTTTAGCGCATGATTTGACATGCATTGTAGCACCTTGTGCTTTTAATATTTTTCGCCACATGTTATTTGGACATATATATTTGTTTTTATCTGTTTTTATTAGTAAATTTATTATTTTTATTTTTATCTTTTGTGTGGCAGTGTTCTTATTTGTTGTTGATACTGTCGTTCGTTGATGCATCTCATTTATTATAGTATCAGCTGATGCCTCCGTTGATCGTTTTTGTATGCATATTCGTTTATGTATGTTCATACCTCGTTTATTTTCAAACGTTCGCCCACATAGTAAGCATGTGGTATCATCATTTATTACTGTTGAAGTAATTGAAGGACTATTCATTTTTTTTATTACAATCAAGAAGTCTTTCATCAGCCCGACGTTTTTTTGCTCTTTCTTTATGCTCATGTATGACATGTGTTGCATCCGATTGGACTGTTGTAGACTTAACTTCTTTAATGATTGTTTTACGCCACTTCTCTTTATCTTGGACTTCTCGTCTCCAATTTTTTATATCACATATTGCGAGATCTTTAGTTATTTTGTCTCGCCATCTTAATTTTACACCATGTGGAGGTCTCTTCGTATCTGCATACGAAGAGAAAAGGGCCTTTTTTGGCATCATCGGATGATTTTTCTGATTGTTCATTCGATTGGCATGACCGAACCGTCTTAGCCTATTTCTTCTCAGAATTTTTTCAAAAGGTGGTTGATCGGTCAGCTGAAGAATCAGATCATTCCTCATTCGGTCACCAAGACACACACCCAACAACGTTCGAAGATATTTCATGTAGAATGTATTCAGTCGTTGTTCTTCAACAGCTTTTAGACACTATACTTCACTCCCAGACAACAGAAGTGGCAGAATACATGCTTTAAATATTCTGACTTTTGCCTGAATCGATATGCATTTTCGGTACCATACAACCCGCCGAAGTGAGTTAAAAGCATTAGAAGCTTTTCCTAAGCGAACTTCTATTTTCTTAGATTGTGTTTGATCGTTTGTTAGACTTTTTGCCTTTTGTTTCAGTCTTTCCTATTGTTTCCTCGAATTTTTTTAATGACATAGTACATGTTTTTTGAATGTTCATATTTAGGCCAAAATCATTAGTTATTCTTTCGAACACTTATAAAATGTTCTAAATTTTTTGAACTTTTACACATGACAACAATATCATCTGCATACATTAAAGTCAATAAATGCACATTAGGACTACCATTTCCTCTACCAGACAGCCAGAAATCATCAAGACGATATGATAACGTGACACCCTGAACGTTAGCTTGTTGAACTACTTGTTTCATAGTATAGTCAACATATACATTGAACAAGATTGGAGAGAGAATACATGCTTGTCTCATGCCAGTTTTCATAATGAAACTTTCGCTAACATCTTCATCAATTTTATTCTGAGCAGATTATCTTCATATAACAATTGTAGCATTAGAACTATCTTTTCTGATAATCCATATGCTCGACATATTCGCCAAAGTGCTTTTCGATTAACAGCGTCATATGCTTTCTTTAGATCAATAAAGCACATATGCAGAGGTTGATTGAACTCTCTTGCTCTCTCCATGACCATTTTTAATATAAAAATCTGATCTATAGTGGATCTTCTAGGATGAAAGCCTGCTTGTTCCTCCATCAACTTTTTATCAAGCGAAGCCTGAATACGATTTAGTATGATTCTGACAAAGATTTTCACTGCAACATCTAGTAAGGATATGCCTCGATAGTTGTCACAAATTCGTTTATCACCGTTATTCTTGTATAGTCGTATTATAACGGCTTCAGTCCATTCCTTAACCATAACCTCCTGTTCCCATACATCACGAATAATTTCATGTAACCACTCAGCGACATAATGACTGCCCGCTTTTAGGAGTTCCGCTGGTACATCGTCTTTTCCAGGAGCTTTTTTATTTTTAATTTGTCCAATCACCTTTACAAACTCATCAAGAGTTGGTACAGCATCCTGTAGAGAAAGCTCTTCATCATCAACTGTAGGACTTGGAATTTGTTGTAAAACTTCTTCGCTTAATGTTGTATCAACGTTCAGCGTTTCATCAAAATACTCTTTCTATCGATTCAATTGATCTTTACTGTTAGTTAAAGTTACGCCGTTCTTATTCTGGACTGGTATGTGATTTATACTTCGTCCATTTCCACGTAGCCTTCGAATGATTTGGAAAGCAGTCGTTGGATCGTGTACTTTGACTGCGTTTTCTATGTCTATGCTTAACTCCTCCCAATATTGATGTTGCCTAGCATATACTTTGTTTTGCACTATTTTTGCCACCGTTCGGTATCTGTTTCTATATTTATTCTCGTTGGTCGTACTGCGATGTAGTTGCCAGTCTACATATGCTTTAGCTTTTCTATCGACAATTTCCTTTAGTTCTGGTGTAAACCATTCTTTTCTGCCTTTATGAATGCTTTTAATGTTTCCAAAGTAGCGTCTACCACGTTCTCGAACACTATTAACAAATTTTGTGAACTTTTCGTTTACCGATAAGGTTTTATGTTCGCGCCGAAAGGCTTGATTTTCATTCGCTAATTCAATTGGGAAAGCAGAAAGTAAATTATTATCTGTCAGTTTTGACTGATCAAGTCTTAACCGACATTTTTTCTGTTTTTCTACGACATTTCAAATGTAGACGAATTTTAGCTCGTAATAAATGATGATCAGTTCCAATACCACCAGCAGCACCTCTATGGACCCGTACATCTTGCACACTAGATCGAAATTTACGATTAACTAGTATATAATCTAACATGTGCCATTGTTTAGTTTTTGGGTGTATCCATGTGCCTTTGTGGACTGCTTTATGTGGAAAGAATGTGTTAGTAACTATAAAGCTGTTAAATAGACAGATATCAACTAGTCGACGACCGTTTTGATTTTGTTTGTCAATAGCATGTTTATCAACAGTTCCTCCGGCTGTATTGGCCTGTTCTACTCCAACACGAGCATTAAAATTACCCATTATCATAATCATATCACTCTTATGAATTTTATCTATTGTTGCTTGTAGACTTTTATAGAACTCGTCACATGTTTCAATATTATTTTTTACCCCATTCGAGTGTTTGTGTGATAAATGGATATACGTTCATATATTCAGGTTCACCTTCTCAATTATTATCAAAATCTGCACACGGCGCAGCCGTATGTTGGGGTTCTGAAGCTACTTGTGCTTGGAAGAACTCAGGTTCTCAATGGGAAGCAGTGAGTTCAAGAATTGTAACTGTCCGTATTGAGTGTCGACCTGTACCAATCACCATCATAGCTGCTTATGCACCTATAAATCCCTCGAATGGGGTAAAAAATAATATTGAAACATGTGACGAGTTCTATAAAAGTCTACAANTTATCAGTTAAGCAAATCAATATCAAACGCGCTATATACGACGTTTTCTCGCAAAAAAAAAATGGGCCGAACTTTTGATCCATACTGGTCGATAGAGAAAACTCTTCTCTATCTAACTGTGCTTTTAGTTTTTTCCAAAAAAGTGTTTCTACCGAGAAATAATCGATACAAATTGACCAATCAAAATACATTAACGCTCATGATTTGATAATGAATCGATGATTCATCTCGATTTGTCGGTAGACTATTGTTTCTTTTTTTTTGTCAATACTCATGAGATTGTAGAACATACGTCCAGGTAAATTAAATTGAACCAAGGAGTCTGAATATTCAATAGGAATAAACCTTTTATATCTATATTTTTGTTGACAAGTAAGAAAAAATAAAAAATAATCGGTTACGACTATTCTAATTAATATAAATGTTTAATAAATTGATAAGCTAGTTAGATATGAGGAGAAAGTCTGCGTTTCAATCGATCGAAATCTTTAAAAAATTTCTTATGAGAATTGTTTATATAGAAGTTTAAAATCTCTGTCTATTCATATTATATATTGATTGACTGATCAATGGTTATCAGCATTTTATTATATATATGAAAATAAAATGATCGATAAACATATATTGTTTTTCACTGAGTTATTCAGTAAGATTAAAGATGATTTATGGTTTGTTTTTCAATATATTATTATAGTTAAGGTTTTGTTAGGAATTTATTCTATTCAATCGAAAAATTTTATTGTATTTCATTTTATAAATAATATTTAAAAATAAACAAGAAAATATGAATAATTAGCGAGATCCTGTAAAGTTTTACATCTGTGTTTTAATCTTGACCCGATAACAGACAATCAGACGCTTCACAGTATATATATAGATAGACCTTATAGCCTTATTCGACCTTTGACCCAGCACAGACACCGAATATTATATATATATAGATTAGTTAGGTATATACGATGAATTTTTACAGATTGTTTCAATGACGACAACAACAATTAATAATAATAGACAAATTCGAACATTTTTCAAATTTATTTATTTTATTTAATATAAATATGTTTGAAATATATATTTACTTTTGTTTATCATTAAGAAAATAATCGATTATTAGTATATACATATTTTTATTTGTTTTTTATACAGTTAATATATTATCGTTGTCTATATGAGCTATTCAATTTAGTTTTATATCCAATCATTGCACTTTTATATCGATATTCTTTATTTTAATAAATAGAAATATAATTTAATAATCTTTATATTATTATTTCAATAAGATAAATAAATCCTTATCATTTTACTTATTATTTGTTGTAAAAGAAAATAAATAGAATATATAATAGAAATAAGTTCAATTATATATATATATGAATATGATTATATTGATTAACTTAAAACTAATTTTTCTCTGAATAATCTCTATCTTAACTTATTCATTTATACAATCAAATACAATTTCAAATTTCTTAATCAATATTAATTAAATAAACAAATAGGTTTTAATTGACTGTATTTAGTTTTTATTGCACTAACAAATAGATCATAAGTATCAAACGTGTCTATCAGGGCTCCGCGTGGGATGGGATGGAACGAAAAATTTTCCGTCCCATCCCATCAGTCCCATGGGACAAACTTCTTCCACATAAATTCATTTTTTTAAACAACAATACAACGTTTTGATGTAAATATTGTTTTCGTTTATTCCAGCAGAACTGGCAAAGGAGAAATACAATTTTTTGGTGAAACTCATGTATGCTTTCGAAAAATTAGCAAGTGCCAAATTAAATCAAAGTTTTTGCGGCTCTCCGCCCCCGCCCCCCCTCCCTCTCTCCGTTACAGATCTTATCAAAGGGATTAAATAATGGATATATATAATAGGCATATTTGCCATTCAGTTCAATGCTTATAATAATAAAGAGATAGAATAAGAAAAAAGAATTATGAAAATGAAAAATAAAAAGCGCATAGCAACAATGAAAACGAAGAATAAGACGCCCGTTAGAAAAAGAAAATAGAAAAATTCTTGATTTTGCACTTTCTTTATTTTGTACTAAAGAGTGGTCAAAAACTTTCGACCCCTCTCTGTAAATCGACGATATCTATACAAATACTTATATAGACAATTCATCGAAATATATAGTTTTATATAGGAAGATTAGAGCTATCATCTGAAAACAAGATACTTCGAAATGCATCGACATCATGAGAAGTTATGGTTGCCTTATTGATCATGACTAAACTTGTACATCTTACACTTTTTGCAAAAACAAAATATGCTTGTAACATTTTAAGCGACATATTGTTTTCTAGATATTTTTGCACGGTTCGATAGAGTTCGACAAGCTCTGCGAGAATTTGAATGTTTAAAAAATTCTGATCTTATTTTCAATATAAAACTTGAAGGGAACCAGAAAGAATAATAAAAATTTCATGTATCAAATATTAGAGAGAGTAAGTTGCGCTTTCAATAACTTTAGCTGGTTGACTGTTCCATTCCTTCATGCTACTCGGAAGAGTTATTTTCAGCTTCAGTATGTGACACTGCATCTCGAAATATCAATTAGCCGCCGATCAACTAATGTTGTTTCAAGTTAAGCATACTATCTCATGCAAGATATGTGAAATTTTTATTAGTCTGTGTGGTTTCCTTCCAGTTTTATGTTGGAAACAGTATTCGAATTTTTCTTGATATGCATATTCTTGTAGAGCTTGTCAAATTCTATTGAACCATATAGAAATATCTGTTAGAAACATGTAGAAAGTAATATTTCGCTCGACTTTAACGACTGAAACATTAACGATTTGCTTTATTTTTAAAAAAAATGTAAGATGCAAACTGCTTAGTCATCATGAATAAAATGATCATAACTTTTCATAAGTACGACACAATTTGAACTATTTTTTTCAAATGATAGCTCTAATCTTCCTCTACAAAACCGTATATTTCGATGAATTGTCTATGTAAGTATTTATATACATATCGTCGATTTACAGAGAGGTATCGAAACTTTCCGATCACCATTTAGTATAATAAAGCTAAAGAAGATATGTAAGTTCCACACTTTGGCCCCTTAAGGTGCCGCACTGACAACTTTTTCTACTCTACAAGTGGCTAAGCAAACTGATACGTGTATTAACAGGTTGTACTCTTTTTGAGGTATTTGACAAGTATGAAAACCCATGAAATGGAATGAGACGCGAAGTTTTAGATAATTATCCCATCTTATGGAACGAAAAATTTTCTCATACCTATACCATCCCATGGGTTTTCACACTTGTCAAATACCTCAAAAAAAGTACAATTTGTTAATACACTTATTAGTTTTGTTAACCACTTAAAGAGTGGAAAAAAATTATATTTCTTCCTAGTCAGTTCCACTGGAGTAAACGAGAACAACATCTACATCAAAAAGTTGTTTTGCTGTTTGAAAAATTGACTTTATATGGAAGAAGTTTGTCCCATGGGACGGATGGGATGGGATGCGATAGGACAGAAAAACTTTCATCCCATGGGATGGGACGGTTCTCAAAATTTTCCATCCCATCCCATCCCATGGGACTAATAGTATGGGATGGGATGGGACTGTCCCATCCCACGCGGACCCCTGGTGTCTATCTATATATATTATGTTTAATGTGTGTAGACCTGGTCAAAAGCCATGAGGCTATCAGAGAATAAGGCTATAAAGTAATAGGGGGTAGAATGAAGTGATATGGGTGAAGAAGGTGTGGTGATGTAGTATGGAGTGAGACAGATGTGGTATAGAAGTGTTGTAGATGCGAGCTGATGTTGTTGAGTGGGTGATATTGCCTTTATATTGAAGATCATCAAGTAAGACCTATGATATAGCTACATGCCGTACCTTTACTCAAAACCTACAATCGCCTACACTTGCTGCCTCCTTCCAAATAACTTCTGTGGAAATAGTTTAGGTAGCAGGTCTAACTAGGTCTTTGACCAATTCCTTGTCTTCGAAAAAATGGTGCAGTATACACCAGTTCTCGCTTGTTTATTATATCAATTAATTAATTAATTGTTAACATAATTGAAATTTAGACGCATATTTAATCAGTGCGTCCTAACCAGATGTTACTTTTATAGTAAATATACAGTTGAATCCAATTCTATAGCTTATTGATAGTGATTTAAAGGGATTTTTATCTGAGAAAAAAATCCTTATCGTTCGATATTTTATTTTATTTTATTTTATTTTTATATGTTTAATTGTAATGAGTTTATTTAAATAATTATATCTAATATAAAATATCTTGTTTGTTTACCAATAATTCTGATATATTTTATTATGTCAAGGAAATTCATTAATAGAATTCTATTGAAATATGTCATCTTATCATAATGTGTTTTCAATATTATCGTTATCTATTAAAACAATAGTTAAAATTCGTGATAAATTATAAAAATGAATAGAAAAAGATTCTTAAAGAATATAATTAGTTAATGATAATGATCAATATACAAATATATACTTATTTATTAACGATAATAATTATTTCATATATTATTTCTAGATATATATATATATATGATGACAAAATCAAATCATTGTGAAAAAGATGAAAAAGAATGGAATAATTATAATCTATTTGCTTCAACAAAAGAAATTGAAGATGAAAAAATAATTGAATTGGAAGGAAAAATTCCTGAATGGTTAAAAGGTACTCTTTATCGTAATGGTCCAGGAACTTATGAAATAAATAATGATATAAAAACATCATTTAATCATGCATTTGATGGTTTTGCTTTTATTCAAAAATATAATATTGATGGACAATCTCAATTAGTTCGTTTTCGTGCATCATTTATTAAATCACGTGCATATACTCAATCATTAGAAAATTCTCGTTTATCTGTAAGACAATTTGGTACAGATCCATGCAAATCAATTTTTGGAAGATTTCAATCACTTTTTCGTAGTACAGATCCAACAACATATAGTGATGATACTGGTGTTACTGTTCAAATTGTACATAATCAATTATTAGCACTTACAGAAACACTAGCAGCCAATATTCTTGATCCTGATACACTTGAATTAATAGGTCCACTTATAACAATACCTTATACTCAATCACTTGATTCAGAAATAATGACAATAACAACAGCTCATGTTATGCATGATGATAAACGTCAAATGACAATTGGTTATAGTGGAAGAGTAACACGTAAAGGACATTGGCTTGATATTATATTCATATCGGATGAACCATCGAATCAAGATAAAACAGGTTATTTTATTTATTGAAAAAAAAAAGAAATCTTAAATAATTTTTAAATATAGAAGAAGATGATGATGATGTTGATAAATGGATATCTGCTAATGATCGTTTTATTAGTATAACAGATAAAATGAGTTCAACTGGAAAAGATTATAATCGTCGTATTAAATCAAGTACAAAATTGTATCGTTTTCCATATGAATATGCATGTTATATGCATTCAGCATCAATTAGTGAAGATTATTTAATTTTAACAGAAATTCCATATCATTTTAATACGTTTTATGCTATTTGGACTAGTATATCAGGTGGTACACTAACAGATATGTTTAAATGGAATGGTAAAACAATGCCAACTTATTTTCGTATAATTAGTTTAGATACAGGTGAACAAATAGCTCGTATTCCTGGTCCAGCTTTTTTTACATTTCATCATATTAATTCTTATCAAAATAAACATAATAAAAAACAAATTATTGTTGATATTTGTGCTTTTGATGATCCAAGAATAATAAATGAACTTTATTTGGATAAATTACGTCAAAATATATTTCCTTCAGGTGCTGGTTATCTTAGAAGATTTCAATTAGATTTAGATAAAAAAAACATGTATTGAACCAAATGCTAATGCTAGACAAGCAAAAGGAGATCATTATTATAGTTATGCTCATAGTCTTATACCAATTCAATTTGAATTACCTAGAATTAATCCAAGATTTATAACTAAACAATATCGATATATATATTGTGTACGTGCACTACCTGGTCGATTGTTTGATGCATTAATTAAATTAGATGTTGAATCAAAACAAGAAGTAGGTTTATGGGAAGAAGAATGTACATCACCAAGTGAACCTATTTTTGTTCCAAGACCTGATGCGAATTATGATCAAGAAGATGATGGAATTATTTTATCAATTATTTTAGATCAACAATCTAAACGATCATTTATACTTGTACTTGATGGAATTACATTTAAAGAAGTTGCTCGTACTTATCTTCCAATGCATATACCATTATCATTTCATGGAAATTTTTATTGATTAGTCATATATATATATTCAACATTTTCCTTAATCATATTACTCTTTTTTTTCCTTAATTTCAACAAGCATATAAAGAAAATTTCAAAAAAATAGAATTTATTTATGAGAAGAAAATTCTCTTTAATAATTATATAACGTAAAATGTTTCAAAGAATAATAGAATATTTATTTTTTTTTGTTTCATAAAATAATAATTGTCAAATTTTGAATGAAGACTTCTTTTTTTTTGTTGAATTTAATACATACGAAAATATTTATTATGGAAGGTATAAAGCTAGCACATAGAAAACAATAATAAAATAAACTTATTTCAGTTAGATTTATCAATCAAATTATAGTACTGTCATTATTCGGTGTGGGTGTGGGGTATGGATTTCCTCTATACCCACATCCATACCTCTTTCACAGACTATCCCAGGAGAATGCCCTAAGCTTATGTGGAGACAAACTAAAACCTGTTCAACCAGATGAAGCGAAATGATTTGTTTTATGAAAAAGTTGCCATTTCCACTGAAAACTTTTTGAAGTATAGCACTGTTTGACCAGATATTCTTAGCCTACTATGCTTGAAGGAACTCTTTTTATGGTTTTTCCGTATGTTGAAAGTAGGCCATTTTGTAGCCCTTAAAAAGTTCTATCGAATGGGTAATACGAGAAAAAATGTTCATTTCAATGTTGAATACAAAAATTCCTCACACATATCGCAAAATATCTGGTTATTCGACGTGGAAATGCAAAATTTATGACATTTTGATACGTGACTGAAAGTCTCCTTAACTCTGTAGTAACAACACTTTGGATTTGGTGTGAAAATGTTGTCCTCAACGAGTACTTTCATCTTATACCTGATTGAACTGGATTTAGAAGTAAAAGTGCCCTCAGCCGATTTAGGGTCTTATGCACCCCTGCCCTTTGATTCTTAAAAAATCTAATATATGTTATTGACTAAATATGATATTTTTAAAGATTTCATTATATGAACAAAAAATATTATTAACGAAATCAAACTTAGTTTATTAAGTATTTCATTAAAATAAAAAATTGATTATTTGAATTACTCAATAAAAAATTTCTTTTGACAAATTATAATCAGAAGAAGTGAAAAAGTTCACTTGAAAATTCAAAAGAAAAATAAGTTCTGAACATTTGATGTTGAAATGAATACTACCTGTTTTACTTTAACATGAGGGTAAAAACCAAGTCCTGAACACTACTGCTTTTTATACAGACGATTTTTTGTATTTTATTTAATTATCTGTATTCATTATTGTTTTGTCCATTTTGATATGAAATTAAATAAAAAGTTTTTTTTTCTTTTTTGGAAGATTATATTAATACAAATATATCTCGCCACAATTGACTTGAATAGAAAAGTTTCATTATATCATTATTCTTCAATAGAATAAAAACAGGTAAATATCTATTTAAGAATAAATAATCATTTTGCTTTTCATACTCATATAAAGAAACAAAGAAGAGAGGGTGTGAGTGTGAATGTGGATATGGAGTGACTCTTCATCAACAACAATACCAACAGCCGCACCCACACTCACACCCTTATTTTAGGATATAACTGTAGTTTAAGCACACTCTCATCCTATTCACACACCAGTTGATGCGCAGAATATGCTAATTAGACGAGACGATGTGCTTAAGCTATAGTTGCAGTGCAAGAATTGATGAAAACAAATGAAAATGATCAACTTTGAAAGCACCTCGGAATAGTTTTTCTTTCGTTTTTCTATTACGTTATTTATTTAAATATGAAAATATTTGTTTGAAATAAGAAGCCTCAAACTTATGACGCATTTTGATATGTGAATTTAGGAGATTCGGGACATCGATTATTTTCTGAATAGTCCCGTCCCGCAGATCTCTAGTCATTAGGTTATAGAAAAATTGCGAACTTATTTTGTGAGTGCATCTCTTTCCACTTGTACCGTTTCTTTGATGGACGTGTGATAAAAAAAGAGTTATTGATGATTCAAACAGGAACAAGAGTTCTATCTTCAACTAAAAAACATTTTCTTTCAGCGCCCTTCTATCAAAGACAAAAATGGAACTGACCTTTGTTTCCTTATTTTTGCATCACATGTTAGTTTCAAAACGTCAACAGTTGGTCCCAAGCCTTTGGGACACATTTTAGGAAGTCGATGTAAAATCAGATTTTTCTGTACAATTAAATAGTGTTCAGTGTGATCTGCATTATCTAAAAATCCAATCTAGGAAGCATTATATCAAACATTGCTCTGGGACGTTTGTTTTTATTATACCTTCTCTACGTTTTTTTGTCTTAAATAAAAGTACTTATTAGGAATACCATTTGATTTCATTATTATTTTAACTATAAGAGAATAAATTTTATATACAATCTTATAAAAATATTAAAGATTTGAAAGAAATAATTCAAAATGAAATAAATATTGATACGAATTATCAAAAATTAACTATGTATAATGATGAACTTATTCTATTTCGAATATGAAGTTTTAGAACATTTTATTATTCTATTAATAATTTTAAAGGATCTCTTTTAAGAAAAAAGATAGTCGAATATCATTATCTATTAAATTAGATAATACTTTAAACGATATAAAACAAAAAATCGAAAATATAGAAAAAATTGCAAAGGAACATCAAAGATTATTATATTACAATAATCAATTGGAAAAAGATGATAATTAAACTTTGATCGATCATAATATTACAGATGAAACCATTTTTTTGAATTACAAATTGCTAATTTTGTGCTTACTTGTTGTAAAAGACAAATTTTTAACTCTAAAATTATCTGATATCGATTTCAAAATACGACGTGCTTCGATGTTTTTTCAATAACTTGACTGACATTCCTAATTTGTTCCTTTGAGGAAATATAAGACTTTTTCTGAGACCACCATTTGTATTTCAGCGAATTGGCTTTGAATGATTCGGAGAAGCAGCTAGGTAGGAGTAATTTCCAATGCTGAGTTAAATAGTGATATCTATGTCTAAGTTCTAACTACTTCGACACTGTTATTACATTTGACTCAGCATTGTGTAGATGAAAAGAGAAGATAATTCGATGAATCCACATCTTCCCACTTAAATGGTGAAAACCGAATGTTCTTTTGATATTCTTACCAAAATTTATTAAAAAAGCAATGAAGCACATTATATTTTGACCTTGAAGGTAATTAATTAGTATTTTCATGACTTTTTTAGGATCACTGACGATCAATAACCTCCTATTATTTTATAAATAATTAATATTACTTGGCAGATTATTCTACGCCGACCAAGAGAAAAATTTATCTGATAGCAAATGCAGTACTAATATTGGTACAAGTCAACTTACTTTAAAAACTCGACCACATTTACGAATAAATTTGATTCCTTTAAACATAATCAATTACGTGGGTGTCATAAACGTTGCTCGTAATAATTTAACGAGGACACAATCATCTCTTCTAAATAATTTCTTTTACGTTCACACCAACGTACATTCTCAAACCGTTTGCCCCTGCTTTGAATGATTGAAAGTGACAATACTCTGTGGGATTACTTTACTGGTAGTTTGAACCATCATGCTTTCTTCCATTATTTGATGCTCGTATACTGCATCTTTGAGCTCACATATCTTATCTATCAAGTAGTCAACAGGATCTCTACAGAACATGCTATGCAACGAAAAATATTGTTAGATGAAACAGTCAAACCTGTGGTGAAGATTGAAAAAGTTTTTTGATTGGAAGATCTGTAGGTAAAAGTGAAAAATGAGCCAATTATTCTTGAAATGAACAAAAGTATCGATTCATCATTTGCTCAATGATTATTATTGCCTTCTGCTTAGGATTTTCCACACTACCAAAATTATATCCGAATAAAAAACACTTAACCAACCTGCTTGTTTGGTGGTGAACGGGTGATCGACCTAGCTTCACTCATTCATGACATATAAATGACAGGAAAGGAAGCAAGCTGATTTCGATCATTATTGAAACTTAGGAAGAAGAAACTATAACTATAAGCGCCTATCACAACTTATTACGTAGTGAGTAGTGATCTGAATAACCATTTCAATGCTTATTCTAGAAAATCACGATTGGAAATCTTAAAGTGAGTGTTAGAACGAACACAGACATGATGGTCACTGGTTTATGGATTACACAATTAAATAAACCTAGCCCGTCATTGCATTTTATTGCTTATTCATTCATAATGAAGAAACTACATAATTTACAAAATAGACCTAATGCATATCTTAGTTTTTCCCACTTAGTCACAGAAGAATTATTCTCTTGTTCCCTTCTTTCCAAATTATTGTGGATATCTAAGCAAATCATTGAGGAAAAAAAAAATTTCTTTTTTTCTGTTAGTCATTCAAGCAACAGGCTGCTTGTCAATAAACAAGGAACTGAGATAGATAGATAGATAGCCAATACTGGTACACCAGTTTAGGCGATGAACAAACCGAAGTTAAAAATATAAAAAACTGAAAATTTACAGGGACAAAAGGACAAAACAAAAACATAAAACACAAAAAACACAAACAAAAACACAAAAAACACAAACAAAAACACAAAAAAACACAAACAAAAACACAAAAAAGAAAGACTAAGACGACGACAAGGACATTTACACATATACAAGACAAAACATAAAACAACATAATACATATAAATAAGTAACAAACCAGAGTAACTTGAAATCATAGACTAGAAAGGCGCGCCTCTAGAAGAAGAGATTGTTGCGTCAACCATCAGCCTGTCACCTCCAGACCACAATCGGATCCGGTTTCGGTGACAGTCATCATAAAATACAACAATCTAAACTCAGATTTCGGATCTTTAAATCTGAACTCCTTGTTCAATCAGCCATGCTTTAGCACATGATTTGACATGCATTGTTGCACCTTGTGCTTTTAGTATTTTCCGGCACATACTATTTGGACATACATATTTGTTTTTATCTTTTTTTATTAATAGATCTATTATTTTTATATTTTTTATGGTAGTGTTCTTGTTTGTTGTTGATGCTGTCGTTAGTTGATGCATCTCATTTGTTTTGGTATCAGTTGATGCCTTCGTTGACTGTTTTTGTATGCATACTCGTTTATGTATGTTCATACCTCGTTTGCTTTTAAACGATCGCCCACATATTGAGCATGTTGCATCTACATTTATTACTGTTGTTGTACTTGGAGGAGTATTCATTTTTTTATTACAATCAAGAAGTCTTTCATCTGCCCGACGTTTTTTTGCTCTTTCTTTATGCTCATGTATGACATGTGCTGCATCCGATCGGACTGTTGTGGACTTAACTTCTTTATTAATTGTTTTACGCCACATCTCCTTATCTTGAACTTCTCGTCTCCAATTTTTTATCTCACACATTGTGAGATCTTTAGCTATTTTGTCTTTCCATCTTAATTTGACCCCGTGTGGAGGTCTTTTAGCATCAGCAAAAGACGAGAATAGGACCTTTTTTGGCAACATTGGGTGATCTTCTTCGTTGTTCATTCGGTTGACATGACCAAACCACCTTAGTCTATTTCTCCTCAAGATCTTTTCTAAGGATGGCTGACCAGTCAACTCAAGAATTAGATCATTCCTCATTCTGTCACCACGACCCACACCTAACAACGTTCGAAGACATTTCATGTAAAATGTATTCAGCCGTTGTTCTTCGACAACTTTCAGGCACCATATTTCACTTCCATATAGCAACACAGGTAGAATACAAGCCTTAAATATTCTAACTTTTGCTTGAATAGATATACATTTCCTGTACCATACAACACGACGAAGTGAGTTAAACGCGTTAGAAGCTTTTCCTAAGCGTACTTCTATTTCCTTAGCTTGTGTTTGATCGTTAGCTATATTACATCCAAGATAATTAAAATTGTTCACAGTTTCTATATTTTGATCTTGAATGACGATATTTGATGGAGCATCTTTCTCTTTTCCTTCTGTTTCATTCTTTTCTATTGTTTTCTCGAATTGCTTTAGTGACATAGTACATGTTTTTTGAATGTTCATAGTTAGGCCAAAATCATTGGTTACTCTTTCGAACACTTTTATAAAATGTTCTAAGTTTTTTGGACTGTCGCACATGACAACAATATCATCTGCATACATTAAAGTCAATAGATGTACATTATGACTACCATTTCCTCTACCAGAAAGCCAGAGATCACCAAGACGGTATGATAACGTGACACCCTGAACGTTAGCTTGTTGAATTATTTGTTTCATGATATAATCAATATATACATTGAACAATATTGGAGAGAGAATACAACCTTGTCTCACACCAGTATTCATTACAAAGCTTTCACTAACATCATCATCAATTCGAATTTGAGCAGATGTATCCTCATATAGCAGTTGTAACATTCGAACTATCTTTTGTGATAACCCATATGCTCGACACACTCGCCAAAGTGTTTTTCGATTAACAGAATCATATGCTTTCTTTAGATCAATAAAGCACATGTGCAGAGGTTGATTAAACTCTCTTGATCTTTCCATGACCATTTTTAGTATGAAGACCTGATCCATGGTGGATCTTCTAGAACGAAAGCCTGCTTGTTCCTCCATCAGCTTTCTGTCAAGTGAAGCTTGAATACGATTTAGTATGATTCTGGCAAAGATTTTCCCTGCAACATCTAGTAAAGATATGCCTCGATAGTTGTCACAAATTCGTTTATCTCCCTTATTCTTGTATAGTCGTATTATAATAGCTTCCGTCCATTCCTTTACCATAACCTCCTGTTCCCATACATCGCGAATAATTTCATGCAACCATTCAGCGATATAATGACCGCCCGCTTTTAGGAGTTCCGCTGGTACATCGTCTTTTCCAGGAGCTTTTTTATTTTTAATTTGTCCAATCGCCTTTACAACCTCATCAAGAGTTGGCACAGCATCCTGTCGAGAAAGTTCATCATCATCAACTGTAGGACTTGGAATTTGTTGTAAAACTTGTTCGTTTATTGTTGTATCAACATTGAGCATTTTATCAAAATACTCTTTCCATCTATTCAATTGATCTTTACTGTTAGTTAATGTTAAGCCGTTCTTATCCTGGACTGGTATGTGCTTTATACTTTGTCCATTTCCACGCAGTCTACGAATGATTTGAAAAGCACTTGTTGGATCATGTACTTTGACTGCGTTTTCTATGTCTATGCTTAACTCCTCCCAATATTCATGTTGTCTAGCATATACTTTGTTTTGTACTATTTTTGCCAACGTTCGGTATCTGTTTCTATATTTATTCTCGTTGGTCGTGCTGCGATGTAGTTGCCAGTCTACATATGCTTTAGCCTTTTTATCAACAATTTCCTTTAGTTCTGGTGTGAACCATTCTTTTCCGCCTTTATGAATGCTTTTATTGTTTCCAAAGTAGTGTCTACCACGTTCTCGAACACTGTTAACAAAATTTGTGAACTTTTCATTCACCGATAAGGTTTTATTATCGCGCCGAATGGCTTTTATTTCATTCGCTAATTCAATTTGGAAAGCAGAGAGTAAACAATCATCTGCCAGTTTTGACTGATCAAGTCTTAACCGATATTTTTTCTCTGCTTTTCTACGACATTTCAAATGTAACCGAATTTTAGCACGTAATAAATGATGATCTGTTCCAATACCGCCAGTAGCACCTCTATGAGCTCGTACATCTTGTACACTAGATCGAAATTTACGATTGACTAGTATATAATCTAACATGTGCCATTGTTTTGTTTTTGGATGCATCCACGTGCCTTGATGGACTGCTTTATGTGGAAAGAATGTGTTAGTAACTATAAAGCTATTAAATAAACAGAAATCGACTAGTCGACGACCGTTTTGATTTTGTTTGTCAATAGCATGCTTACCGACAGTTCCTCCAGCTGTATTGGCCTGTTCTACCCCAACACGAGCATTAAAATCACCCATTATCATAATCATATCACTCTTATGAGTTTTATCTATTGTTGCTTGTAGAATTTTATAGAACTCGTCACAAGTTTCAATATCATTTTTTACTCCATTCGAGGGATTTATGGGTGCATAAACAGCTATGATGGTGATTGGTACAGGTCGACATTCAATACGTACAGTTACAAGTCTTGAACTCACTGCTTCCCATTGAGCACCTGAGTTCTTCCAAGCATTAGTAGCTTCAGGACCCAAACATACAGCTGCCCCGTATGCAGATTTTGATAATAATTGAGAAGGTGAACCTGAATATATGAACGTATATCCATTTACTACGCAAACACCCGAATCCGGTATTTTTGTTTCAGCCAGTGCCGCCACCTGAATTCGATACCGTTTTAATTGGCGAACAATAAGTTCTCGTTTACTGACCCTATAACACGACCTGACATTCCATGATCCAAAAAGTGTTACCCTGGTTGTAGTAACAAGTTTGGTTTGTTCATTTTCGTTAGTCAGATATGGTTTAACGTCCTACACTCGGGTGACTAGCCCAAAAATAAGACATAGTGGCTCCTGGACCCCAGGGGACGCCCTCCCAGCACCGCAAGCAGTACTAGGCCCCCTGGGAGTATGTAAATACTCCCCAGTAGGGTGAAATGAGTCAGAATATGAACCATGAGTAAAAAAATGAAGAAAAGTGAAAGATATGTTTACTGAGATTGATCCGATTCGCGACATACTTAAACGAGATACTCAACAATGTGACTCTGACTTTACTAGAATAACTGTTACCAGTCACGATTCAGATCGTCTCGATTCATCATTTACGTATTCAAAGCTACTCAAGGAAACTCTTATCAAAATGGATCAGAATGAAAAGACAAAGGAAAGAATATGCTGACTTTTGCCGAGAGCAATACCGACAACCTTCACCAACTGTAAACCATCAACGACTTTGAACCAGATTATGGCGAACATACATCCATCTGATGGCACACTCGAGACTGCTTCATCTATTCGATGCTCAACCTAGCTCTTCGATTACAGAAGACCAACACTATTCTCAAAATAGGTTTCTTCATACGAGATCTTCACAGGGGAGAAACAACGTACTTTGTACTTGAAGTTAATTTGACCTACTTCACAGCGCTTCTAGCTACTTTAAAGTACTTTATCCTACTTTAGATTACTTTAGGCGTTACTTTACTCTACTTTGTTGTACTTGAAGTCCACCGTTTTCCCCTTGGATCTTCATCACCAAATCGAACAGTTGTACACACAACCGTGTGAGAATCTTACTATCTATCGAGGTCAGAAGCTATCAAGTGTAGACTTTGAGAACATGCGCAAGACACAAGGTGATCTCTTATCGTTGAACAATTTTTTATCGACGAGCACTAATCAACAAGTTTCTCTTCTATACGTCGATTGTTTTCGAGAAGATTCCGAACTAACCGGTATTCTTTGCCGAATTAGTATCGATTCGATTCATATGTCAACTTCATTTGCCTTGGTAAACAACGTCAATTACTTTCCGTCAGAAGAAAAGATTCTATTTTCCATGCCCGCCATATTTCGAATCGGTGAAATCAAATTAATCGGAACTCGCCTATGGTTGATGGAGCTTATAATAACGAGTGACGACGATCAAGAGCGTAAACGAATCACGAAGTTCATTCGAAAAGAAATACACGTGACTCTAGGATGGCATTGATTGGCTGTATTATTGTTCAGAATGGGAAATCTCACCAAGACCGAAGAAATCTATGAGATACTATTCAAGAAAAGATCGAATGATGATGAGAAAAACCTTTCTTTTATCTATCATGTGCTTGGAACGATAAACGACAACAAATGCAATTATAAAGAGGCGCTTGTGTCTATTATAAGACACTTGAAACCGAAGAAAAATGTCGGTCTCCGAATCAGTTAGGAATAGCTACTACCTACAACAACGCCAGTATGCTGCATAACAACATGCGAGAATACTCGAGAGCACTGGAGCTCTATCAAAAATCTTTTCAAGTCAGAGAAAAATTCCTATCCGTAAATCGTTTACATTTGATGAAAACCTGTAACAAGATCGGCAAAGTGTATGACATGATGGGTGAATACTCGAAAGAACTTGACTTCTATCAAAAGATACTTAAAGTTCAACAAGAATCTCTTCCTCCGAATCATCCAGATTTGGCTCGAACCTACAAAAACATCGGTGTGGTGCATAACAACATGGGAGCGTATTCGAAGGCACTCGAGTTCTTTCAAAAGACACTTGAAATTCAACCAAAATCTCTTTCTTCGGATCATTTACATTTGGCTACTACCTACAACAACATCGGTTTGGTATATTACAACGCGAGACAGTACTCGAGTTCCATCAAAAGTGACCTGAAATCCGAAAAAAGTTTCTTTCTCAGAACTATCCAGATTTGACTGCTAAGCACAACAATATCGGTATGACGCATCACAGCATGGGACACTACATGAAAGCACTTTCATATATTGCATACGCTATTGAAATTTTACAACATACACCGTCTGAAAATCATCGTAGTCTTCAAAATTGCCGACAAAATCTAGCTGAAATACAAAATAAAAATAACTGCAATTTGCGTTGATGACTGCCAATAAAATGGAGTTCCGTGACTATACCCATGTATATTCTGAAAAAAAGAGAATATAGCAGAAGCTTTTTATGTGTTCTCACCTCAGATAAATCGCAGAACCTTGAAAATGGTTTTGACGGAAAACAGGTTCAGTGGAGAACTAACGGATACGGGTGGGGTGTGGATATTGTGTGAATGTATGCGGATTGAAGATCCACACCCACACCCTGTTCAGGAACTCATTTCTCACTCTTCACTAACTCAGCAATGATGAAACACATCTCAATCAAAAAAGTGTCGATTTAGGCGATTTACAGCAGTTTTCACTGTTACATAGCTTGACCTTTATTATCGTTGATATGAGTGGAGATTCTGGCATCCTATGGCTATTACTCTTTATTGAATTTCTATCGTCATCGTTTTCACCGTTCGTTGTTTCGATACAGACGCCAATATAGTTTCGATGACGTTGAAGACAGAAAAATACAACATTTTCATTTCTTTTCCAGCCTCTCGCATACTGATAGAGCTATACGCGAAAATATCTGACGAAAAAACACATCCTATCTATATGCTGTTAGTCAAACAGAAGAAGTTTTTTAGTTGGAAATTTCTTAGTGCAAAACCTAACTGCATAATATGGTCACGGAATCCATCGAAAGAAATAGATTAATGATGTGAAAATTGTGTCTTGCCATATCAGTTGCATAAAGCAGCAGGTGACTGTTTCTCACGACTTTTTTCCAAGATTGAAACGGCTTTTTTTGGCGTCATCCTACGCACATGAGCGCTACACATCTGGTGAGTTTCTTTGGGGACCAACGCATCAGAAGAGCGATAATTATCAGTTAATAGTAATAGCATACAAAACGCTCGAAGTGCGATGAACAATCTACAACGTTTGGATCAACGTCAGTTGTCCATCAAACAAAGACTAGTTCGACGTTAGCCCTCTCCTTTCTGAATAAATGTCATGGATGAATTTTTCCATAAAACAACTCTCGATAAGTTTCATTTGAATTGTCATTTCGTTTTATATAACACTAAAATACCCATGAATGCTCTTAAGATCGAACATGATTAAGACTGACTATTCACTGGGAATCCATTTCCATCAATGTGCCTGGCCTAATAAAAATTTTTCAATGAAGGATATTCAATCGCAGAATATTTTTCATACGAAAATAAGCCCGACATATACAAGTATGATTGTTGTTGCTTCGCTGCGTATCTTCTGTCCGTTTTCAGCACAACAACGATAGCATGATGACAAACAAGTAGCACAATAATCTGCTATTGAATTTCAGTTTTTTTATCTAGATTCAAACATAGTCGTTCCTTTGGACCATTGGTCCTTGTGATTAATTTCATGGCATGTAACATTTAAAAAAAAATCGAAATTTCAAAAGAAGTCATGTTGAAACTGTATGCAAAAGTCTCAACAACGAGGCACGTTGCCAGAACAGTAGAGACTGCTCACATAACCATAATCGCCCGTTTCAAAATTGAGTCGATACCATTTATTGGTAGTGCCATCAACAGTAGCAACATTGTCACCAATGACGTAGCAATCGCATGGATAGCTAAGACCACCATAAACCTCGCTGACTTGGCGACAATTCGAAGACGTACACGTACGAACAAGGGTCCAATTGTGACATCTTATGGTGCCAGCCTTTTGTTATGAAAAAAAATTCAATGAAGCAACGAAGATACTGATCAAGTAAGATACATACATTACAATAAGCAATGACTATGAGCAGTAAGATGAAACGCAAACATATGATCATTTTTCAAGACGGTAACAAATTCGGTCTGTCGTAGGTGGCTAGTGCTATGATTGATGATTCTCTATTCATATGCGTGGGAATATGCTATAGATATATCGCATGTGTCTTATCTATGCATTCGGAAGTAGAAAACTGACGAGTCATTGTTGGGAAAAAATATTGTGAATATTTTCTCATCATGAAAAGCAGTGGACTAATAGTTAATTTGGTAATGCGTAGGTATGACATGTATCGTACACCCGTATATATATATACTAGTCTATTCCAAAGAATAGTATTATTCGACTTCAAACGAACGAATTTTTATTCAACTTGACAATCACGAACCGATATTGTTATGAATTCAACTCGTGCTTTGGCCCTCATTATGCTCTCTATGATTGTTGTCTATTGTGAGGTATACATCTTACTTATGAATGCTTTCGCTGTTTAATTTCACTTGTTTTCATTATATAAGGCTGGCAGCATCGTATGCCTTCGATGGGCACGTGTTCGTACTTGCCCGGCTGCCAACTGTCTAGCCATTGATGAAGTCTTTGGTCAACAAATCTACTCTTGTGATTGTTATGTTATGGGCAAACCGATGACTTTTGATGGAGAAAGTACTGCCAAATGGTATCGACTCAATTTGCAACACAAAGGCCATGGTTATGTGAACAGCTACTACTGTTTTGGCAACGTTCCTCGTTGTTGATATTTTCGTATACAACTTGAATTTTACTTGTGTATCAATTTAGGTTGTTTGAAACATAAATATGAATAATCTAAAATAATTTCAGTCTGCCCACCCTCAACAATGCAATAATGTCTTTGTAGAGCCTGCTGCTTACAAATTAATTTTTTTCTGCGAAGTTTCAGTTTTTTTTTGCTTTTTCTTTGCTCGACTATTCCCCAAAAGACACTCGGTCCCCTTTTCCAGAAAAAAAACGGCCAAAGTCCTGGTTCGTCTAAAAACTTGATCAATTATAATTGACAGGGGTGGCGCGATCGTTTGAACTTTGCGGGGGGGGGGGAGGGGGAGTATAAAGTTATGTTTCGAGTTAGTGTGTTTGAAAAAGAAAACTTTCATACGTTCATACTATTTATTTTTCCTCGTGTCTAATATAACTCGAGTTAAATTACCACATAAGAACACACAGTAATTCAAATACGAGACATGTACAAAAAAAAAACATTTCAAAAATAAAAGTAAAATGACACTAACGTTCACTTTGCAATATAATACCATTAACTTTTGCTGATTTTATTCATCGATTTTTCATGAAAGCCTGAAAAGCATAGAACAAATAATTAACTATTTTCATATTAATTGTGAGTTATAGTCAATCCTATCACTTCGCGATCGCACGTAAAAAGTGAGAAATGATGAAATACTTACCCATTGTTCGGTAAGTTTTGATACATCAAGTTTATCGAGTATATCATGTTCAACTGAACATAGTAGCAAATATTCTAATTTCTCATTCGTCAATGTTACCCTCAAATAATTCTTTATTATCTTCATTTTGCTGAAACTTCGTTCATTGATTGCAGTTGTTATTGATAATGTTAATATATAATTGTAAACGCTGGATACTTTCGGATATAGATGCCCACATTCTTGTAGCAACTTTGCCATTTCATTTATATTATCACATTCTTGTATTTGATCAGATAATAATTGAAATTCTATAAATAATAATGGTGGACTTGTCAATTTTGGAATTAGTTCACACATATGTTGACATTCATTTAACGTTAAGTTTTAAATTCGACTGGGTAACACATTAACAAACCATTTTAATTTCTCATTCAAAACATTTAAAAAATCAGAATACGTTTCGTATAGATGGTCGAGAGTTTCACCAAATAATTTCAAAGAGAAAGATTCTCTGTAAATAAAAAATAGAAAAATATCTCTATCACATATATGACCATTCCAGAAATTTAACTTTTTCTTAATTAAACTACTTCGTAAGTTGAACGAATCTTGTTGGTTTTGGATCAATTCGACGTGATGGTTGACGAAATCGGTGTAATTGATTGAACATTTTATCAATATCAACATCATATGGCACAATATGTTTCTCACCTAACTAAGCACAACAAATGATTCAACAAACGAAAAGATGAATAATATATATGACTTTGTCTACCAGTAAGATATTTTTCAATGATTGATCATTGATTTCTCATCATTTTGATTAGTTTTAACGTATTAGTTATTAATTCCATTGATGATAATATATTCAATTGCTTTGTTTGTAGATGTGCTGTTAATGAATTGGTTGTTCGTGTTATATTTTCCATAAATTTTAATAATACGATTATTTCATACGAAATAAATTTGTTTCTTAAATTCTTACCTTGAAGTTTTGATTCTTTATCGAATTGTTCTCCTTCTTCAATCAATTGGAAACAATAAATAATTTCATCATATGATTCAATAACAGCAAGAATGGATCCATAATTAGCAGTCCATCTTGTATCAGATACGGATTTGATATTTAAACCATATGGAGATTTATCAAGTGCTTCTCGAAGAACATGACATCTTTTTATACTCAATGTAAAGTAATTGTACAACTTCTGGAATAACATGAACAAATTGATATATTCAACAGAACAATTACAAACATATTCCACAGCCAAATTAGAATTATGTGCACCACATGGGATATGTAAAAGTTCCTGATGTAAATGGTTGGTGACACATGCTTATAAACCTTTATAAATATCTCTCATGATTGGAGCATTATCATAGCATTGTGCCACTAGTTTTTCTGTAGATATTTCTTTTCGTTTTAATGTTTTCAGTAATAACAAACATTTGTCTTCGCCAACTTTACTTGGTAATTCTTGTACAGATAATAGACGTTCTTCAACTTGATAGGTTTTTGTGAATCTAATAACGATTGAGTACATTTCACGATGCGAAGTATCTGGAATACTATCAGCCACAATTGATATGAATGGTGATTTATTAATTTCGTCAATAACTAAACTTTCAACTGCTTCACCTAATAATTGGATGTATTCGTTCTGTGACTGATGACTGAGATACGAATTCTAAAGTAATAATATGAGCTTTACTATCCCTTAAATATAGAAAAAAAGATCTCATACCGGATATTTCTCTAATTTCGTTTTGAAAAACCAATCCTTAAATACTTGATTATTTCGACGTTGTCGATAAACTAGCTGAACAAAATTACCTATTAATAATAGAATATTTAGTTAAAATAGTGAAAATTGCCTATAATGTTTTCATTTATAACCTTCACTTTCTGGATTTCGTCGAAATGCTAATCCTTGTCGTGCAAGATTGCGTGCTGAATCAAGTAATGTAACAATCACTTGTTTATTTAATTGTAAAATCATTTCTTGTTCTTGATCTTCTTTCATTCGATTACTATCAGGCATTAAATCAACATGAAGTTTTTATTTTTAAAATTCAAATATCGATCCACTGATGATTTGTGTGTTGCAAATGAAAAATGTTGCTCAAGTTTACCTTCATGAACAAAAAAATAGAAACAACTGACTAGAAGTTTATACCAGAGTAGAGCTGATAAGCAAATTCTTATCTATCTTTCTTTTTAATTCCTTGACTCTTCATCTTATTCCAAGTTGCTACATCATTTGAAATCCAAGCATCTGTATATTTTTCGCTTCCTGGTCCTATAAAACGAGAAAATATCATTGTCATAAATCAGAATAGGGTTCAGATTAATTGTACCATTAGGAAATAATCGGCATGTAAAACAGAAAGCAGCATCTCTTTTAATACTATATTCAAGGTATAGATATTCATCATATCATTTTGCAGCAAATTTGCATGTTTTCCCAGCTGTATGTAGTTTTCGGTTCTTCGAATATTCTTCTAATTTAACTTGTAATGGACCTACCGAGGCCAAATAACGTAATTGTTTCTCGCTAAATTTATGACCAACGTCGTAATAACCTAAAATCATATGGAAAGACAGAAGTGTTTTTTAAAAGATTCAAAAACATGTTGGACTTACCTGGATCGCGATTAATCAGCTCATCTTTTTTTAATCCACTATTGTTATTTTATTTCTTTTCATTTCTGTTTCTGTTATAATATCGGTACATAGAATTTTTAAATCACTTCCAGCTTCAAGAAGTTTATCAACAAAAATTTTTGTTTCTTCTACGAAGACTTCGGGACAAATATCAATAGACGTGGAAAGTTTCATTAGATGCTAGCATGGATGAGGCAATGTTTCCATAATACGTAGCTTAACTCCTATTTCATGTAAGTAATTATTATCATGTGGACAGGTTAGCGTTGTTGCTGTTGCTGTTCTTGATGTTGTCGATTGCATGTGAGATGTACTAGCTAAATATAATCAAATGAAAGGTAAACAATGAGCTTGGAACATTATTAAAAAACTATAAAAATAAATTACTCGATATCATATAATTTTCTTTTTTGCTTTCATTTGTATGTATATGTTTACTTGCTGCAGACGAATTCCTGCTATCACCTACCCTCTTAATGCTGTTGATTCTTCTATATTTTCGACAATTCGTAACATATTCAGTTGTGCATTTGTAATTAAATTATCTTGTGATGTTAAAGCTGATACGGTAGTAGTTGTTTTTTCAATAGTCTTGGTTTTGTGAAACACGATCTGAAAGGAGTGTTGAAGTGTTTAGGGGTAGGAATTTGGACCCCCTCACCCCACCAGACCATGACTGACACTCACGTGACCCATCACAGACCGTGACAGACACTCACGTGACCCATCACAGACCGTGACAGACAGGGCTCTGGACCCAATACAGACCGTGACAGACATCATAATTAATTAATTAATTACCATGTAATTAACTAATTACCATGTAATTAACTAATTACCATGTAATTAACTAATTACCATGTAATTAACTAATTACCATGTAATTAACTAATTACCATGTAATTAACTAATTACCCATCACAGACCGTGACAGACAAGTTTTAGACCCGTCACAGACCGTGACAGACAAGGCTTTGGACCCGTCATAGACCGTGACAGACAAGGTTTTGAACCCGTCACAGACAGGTCTTAGGACCCATCACAGGCCGTGACAGACAGGTTTTGGACTCATCACAGACCGCCACAGACAGAATATGGAGCCATCACAGACCGTGACAGACATGACTCAGGAGTCATTATAGACTGTGATATAGGACTTAAAGGAAATATCAGATGTATTGCATAACTAACATATGATTGAAGCATATATGGCGTATTATCCTGTTGAAAGTAAGTAATATAAGGTAAGCCATTATGAAATGTACATCAGTATGCATACAAAAACAACAGCTTTTAGAAAATCGTTATAGCAGCTACATCGTGTTTCACATTTTTAATGCCGCAATGGATTGCGCTAACAGCTTTTTTAAAATATTGAAAAATATCATTACCAACTTTATTATTGTGATGACGTTTCGTGGATGGTGATTTTGAATCCATTAACAATCAATCAAACATAACTGTTCAGTAAAGAATTATCTAAAACAATTGATAGCAGAATAATTGAAAAAACAATCTTTCAATATGCTTGATATTGATGCTTTTTATCGAAACTAACGCAGCTGCTGAAATCATGCAATTCAATCAGCACACAGAAACAACAATCTGCGATATTGCCGAGCTGACGTTCAATTCAAGACAATGGCAATGACAAAATACAACATTCGGACTATTGATGTATTCGTCTCGTGAATTATTTTCAGACATACATCATACAGACAATTTATAACACAAAAAGAAAAAGAACATTTTCCATTATATGATAAAATATGTGTTTCTTCGATCATGTTTCCCTCTCTTTCATTTTCTAAATATTGACTTTTTATTTATTTTTCGTCTTCTGAACTAAGCAGAATGTTTTTAAGTTTCCAAATATTGGGCGGGGGGGGGGAAAGAGCGGTGTTACACCCCCGACACCCTCCGGCCGCGCCACCCCTGATAATTGAAATATTCTACTAAACCTTGTGCAGTCGTCGACTTCTCTGCCCCCCCCCCCCCTACTCAACAGATAGTATCACCAAATGAACTGACTGCAAGAGATATTTCTTTTCTATTAGCAGCCGTGCTTTGACATATTTGTCCGAGAACGTCTTTCGTCTTTGTCAGCGAAACTTGGTTAAAATTTGCCTTTCAATAGGACAAAGAGTCATATCTAGTATTTGTTTTAATGAATAAAGTAAAACCTATTTAAAACCATAGATGAAATGGATCTATGGTAAAACGTTCGTTTCTCAAGGATTCGTCAATGGCACGATGCAAGGCTTTATATCTTCGTAAAGGGATACTCGATCAATTTGTCAAATTATCCATAGAATGATTCGAAAAACGAATCGATTATTTTCGGTTCTATCTATTGTAAAAGTAGGCTAGTTCAAAAATTGAATCTTAGAAGTGCAAACATAATATTTTACGACTTGAAATGAATATCAGCTTTGAAAACTATGTTCATTCTGTTATTTTTCTTCAAAAATCTGTGTTTTGATAGCGAGTACTAACTGTTAATTCTTTAGTTTCCTATCCAGATGTCATTTATCATCTACATTGACAAACGGTCATGCACGCATGTGCACACAAAAGAAGCGATATCAGAATTGCCAACAGTGGATAGAACATGCATCAAATATCGATTCTTCTCTTCTGGCCTTGTGTTTGACGAGGGAATAATTTACAGTTATTGTAAAAATGATTTAGTTAAAAACAATGTTGCATCCGCTACGTTTACTAACCCTATTATGGGCTGTCGCTGCATCTCAATTCATTTTTTATGCAACAAACCATTTACAGTTTGATTGCTTGTATTATCCCTTGGACGCTTTGTTTTTACCAGAATTAATTCAGTATTGTCATGAGACGATCAACAATAATAATTTAGAAGTATTTGATTCTCTCGATACATATGAACAAAATTTTACTTTCGATGAGTTATACTATTTGAATATCACTGCATATGATCTTCTTTCATGGTCGACATCAATCGATCTCGCTGAACAATATCAATATTATATTGATGAACCGAGTCAATTATCGACATCGAGTAAAATATTCTTCAACTGTACACAACCATGGTTTGGAGCTCGATGTCAATATTCCTTGGAATTAAGCGATCCAATTATTCTAGCAGATGCTAGTTTAAGAAATCTTTCTATCATTAATCATACATGCTATATTCTTCTGGACTGTGTTCGCGTTCATCCATCGATGTGTCTTGATTGGCGTGAGGTGTGCGATGGTCGAATCGATTGTCTCAATGGTGATATCGATGAAATGGAATGTTTCGACTTAGAAATAAATGAATGTGATCCGAACGAATATCGATGCCACAATGGTTTGTGTATTTCAAAAATTTTCTGGAAAAATGAAGAAGATACTGCTGAATATCTTGACCAATCGGATTTATGGTACATATTTGAGTGTCCAATATCATTGTTTACATTTAATACATTTCATATGTTTGCATGTGAAGAATATTCATGTCGACCGGGTGAACAACAATTTTCATGTGGTAACGGACAATGTGTTGAAGATTTTGATGAATGTCAAAATGGTCGACATCTCTCACTAGTTAAATCAATGAATATCCAAGGAAATTTATCGTATGATTGCTGGGTAATAATGACTTGTTTGAGTAAAATTATCGATGAAATCGATGGACAAGTATGTGAACATATTTTTAATTCGTCTCGTATTCTTGGTCAAATACAAACATGCGAATATTTGACTCAATTTCCAACAATTCCTGTTCTTTTCGGTCACGTACGTTTTCTGTATGTTTCGAAAAATATATCCTATGTAAATATCAGTTCAGCTCTCGTACCTAATTATGTTTGCTATGATGAACAATTGTGCGATTTTCTCATTCCTACATTTCGTCATGAAATTTATACTTGTCGACATGGTCATGAAATGGGTGTCGAATTAAATGTGACATACGACAGTTGGAAATCGATCATTGATTCAGTCAAACCATTTTTTCGTGGTTGTCGAAATGTATATCACATTGGAAATTCTTCTGAAAATTCATTGTATATATGCAAGAATTCATCGAAATCCATTTCTCCACATCGAATCATCGACAATATCTCCGATTGTTATTTGAACGATGATGAAACAGCATTTGAACTCAGTTGTTCGATGAAGGATACACAACGTTTTATGTGTCCAAATGAAATTCAATGTCGATCGCCATTATTTCGAGAACCCGAGTGTCCTTCTTTGATGTATCGTAGTTTCGATGAGATTTTGTTCCATGAAATATGTGATAGAATCGTTGATATATTACCTGTAACAATTGATGAACAAAATCATACGGATGAAACTGATTGTCAAAACTGGCAATGTAACGATATTTATACACGATGTAGTGGCAGTCTAAATGGTCCTAA